AATTTTATTTATTGTAGGTATACCTATTCTGGTCATGGTAGTAGAATTTCACGGCCGTGCTTTCTATTACTATTACGATTAGAGAACAATTCTGTCCACGAAGTCATCATTTTGTCGTGTCAAACCTTTTTTATAGCCTTAAGTATGTAATAGTTACATCGCATTGATAAAAATCGCATCAATAGCGAATATGCATGTTTTTTTTTTTTTAAATTAAACGTTTCTACTAGTTATTATATTACCAAAAATAAATAAAACACACTCGAAATATAAACCATTGAGCTAAAAAAATATATAAAAATCACTATCATTTTGGCGCGCTTATTTTGTGACGTGAGATTACAGAGAACGAAGTGTTTGGTTCACAAAGTTACTGAAGGTTAAAAATTGATTGATAAAATCAACTTATTACCGTGGAAAAGCACACAAAACTTTAATATAAATATTGTGTCCTGTGCGTACCTGACAAAGTATATTTCCTTGGGCCGAAAGATACAGGTAGGTATAAGGAAAAAGTGGTGCAAGGCGATGAGACAATGTATCGTGTTTTAGCTGTTTATACTGACTGTTATGAAGATCATTTTGACTTAGTTACCTGCACAGATTTTTTTTTTTACAAACTTCGACGAAAACGTAACCTAGTTTACGAAAAGTTCATAAAAATGTATTTATTTAATAATTTTATTCTTTCACAATAAATTTCATGAATTGCCTATGAATAAAAACATATACCTACCTAACTCAGTAAAGTAAGAGGGAAGTTCTAAACTATTTTCATTTACGTTTCTAATATTATTTCTGGGTTTCAGATTGAAAATAATTTTACACATAAACAAGTCTATTTTAGGAAGATCATCTGATTGTGCTTTGACAAAACCGGTTTCAGTCATTGTGTTAAGTCTAGCTGAACAAGGATTTAATACTATAAACATAAAACTATTAACGTACTATGAAACAACTGCGAAACAATACAAAATAATAATCACCTGAAACCATACAAACAACTTGTTGACAGAAGACGTCGAGTGAAATTCGACGTCAGGTTTTGTACCACCAATAGCGTTGCATTTTAGAAATTTGCAATAAGCCACTTTTTGATTATTAAATTTCACTATCAAATTATGATAAATTTCAAAAATAATTGTGTAGGTATCCTTTTTAGCAATAAAGTTTACAAATAAAAATATTTGGTCCATTTTGGAGTCACGTGCATATTCCCTATTGACTTTTCGATAGTTATAGCTTATCAGATACGGTAAGAGATTTTCATAAACTACACAGTACATAGAAGAGGAGTAAGCTTCCTCTTCTATGTACTGTATAATTAATTCACTGCAATGCACCTGCACTTCTTGTTTAGATCTTAGTATATCTAAACTCTAAACATGTACTTATTTATGTCTAAAATTACAATTTGTTTGAAATTGGTTTATGTCAGTTTTGTTGTAATGTATTCATCAACAGCCTCTTGTAGTCCCCTTTTTTTTTCTGTGCGGAAATCCCCTTGGATACCACCTATCGGTGGCATGTCGGACTCGAACCGACTAAAACCGCACGCCGTCTCGGGTACTAATAGCCGGGGAACCAGGTATACCCTAGAAAGGAAGTCACTGGTGCAGATGTATATACCCTGAGATTTAATTTTAAACCGCAAACAGATTATCAGAATTTCATTTTTGTTTCAAAAATTCTGGCTTTCTCATAATTTTCCGGACAGAATTTTTTTGTTTATGCCATAAATTGCTAGTGGTAAACAATTAAATGATCCTATCAACGGTGATCCCACTTGTGAGTCCTCCTGTACAGCTGCAGTGACCTTAATCATCAACAAAAGCAATACGCTACTGTACTAGTTGGGTGATTATATTAAGTACGATCTCGTGTACCAAAGTTATTAATGGACAACATAAAATGCCTACCGGTACAAACAGTAATTATCTAAAGCAAAATAATTAACCCTGCCCTTGAATCTTAAACGAATAACAAAATAACTGGGTTATCGTACTTAAATAGATTGGTCGCGGATGGCTCAGCCTCTACCACATGTCGCGAGATTTCTTATATTATTAACTACGAGTGCAAATAATGTAGGCATCTACTACTGATTCAAAGTATAGGTATTTTATTTTAAAAAGATAAATACGCTCAAGTTCCAAGAATCGTTAACAACACTTTTACTCGTGACTGCGTAATATTATTTTTATAATTTAGTGTGTGTCACTATTATAACGTATTATCACTATTAGCCCTATTTATCCCGTGGGTGTCTTAAGAGCCGACTAAGGGAGCAAACTACGTAGGACAGTTATGAGAAAGCCAGATTTTTTTATGAAATTCTGTTTGTGGTTTAAAATTAAATCTCAAAAGTCCAAATCGATCTATGAGAAACAATAGTGATTTTCGCTAATACGTGGTGCACACTGAGTCTCTGGATCTGGCCACTTGCAATAAAAGAATGAAAAAAATTATGGAATTCGAAAATGGAACTCTTTGGGAGCATGTTACTTTTTAATTTGCGAGACTGTCATTTGTTTTTTCATTGTGACGTCCTTTCGAAAATTGCGTGTCGCTTTCAAAATGAATTTTGAATGTCATTGAAATTTTGAATCAAAATGAATTCAGAATGAATTTTATGATTTTCGTTGTGGCTTAAGTTAACGAGAGAGTTGCCAGAGACTTCAATTGGCATTTGGTGATGGCACCATGTTGCAGTTCTGTGTATTCGTGGTTCGGAGAATTGAGACGTGGACGTGATCATCTCAATGCTGAGGTACGTGAAGGTCGGCCGGCGACTGCGGTTACAGACTCTAATATTGACACCGTTATGACAACTTGTTGAAACTGACAAAAAATTACTTACCAGCAAATTCCTGCTTTGTTAGGCATTGGAATGAGCCAAGTGCAAAACATTTTGAAGGTTTGAAGCTTTGCACTCTATGGGTATAAAAAATAATTGAACGAAAATGTTCACGAGTTAAATTCATTTTGATAGCGACACACAATTTTCGAAAGGACAAGTTTGAAAAAGCAATCGACAGTCTCGCATATTAATAAGTAACATGTTCCCAAAGAGTTCCATTTTCGAATCCCATTACTGTTTTTCATTATTTTATTCTAAGTCGCCAGAGCCAGAGACTTTACGTAGTGCCATTAATCCCATTTATACTAAATTTAATCTTTCTTACAATTATCTCTGTTATTATTTAAATTCATATATGCGCATAGTAGTGTGCGCACGAGTCGTCAATCAATTTTAATAATATTTCAGTCATTCAACTTTAGTAAGTTCAAGGATTTAAGCGTAAGTACTAGTTTACGTTTCAAACTTCCTCGGTAATTCAAAGATTTAGTCATAATAAGTCCATAATATTATTATTTATGATTATAAGTACATTAAGTGTAGGTACACTAAGGTTAAGCTAACAAGCATACTAAAACACTAAGTTCCATGTCTGCATTCACAAAACGACATAATAGTGCCTACATGTTAGCAATGAAAACATGACAACTGTGTGACATCTTTGTTATAATAATAATGATTTTCTTGATCAACAAATTACGTTGGTACAAAATATTATAAATATAAATATATATATATATATATGTATATTCTCGTTTTTTATGTAGGTACATTCCATTAAATTATAAACCGTAATGTTTGTTATTTAATCACGCAAGAATGGTTAAGCGGTGCTCAATGAAATTTGAAATATAGATAGATTATCCTTAGTCAGGCACAGCACAGAGGCTACCTTTTATCAGGGGAATAATATCGACGGGCACGCCGTCATCGCGGCGGTAAGACCCCTTGTGGAGGATTGGCTCGAGAGACGTCACGGGACCCTCTCATACCTACTGACGCAGGTGATCACTGGGAAAGGATGTTTCGGGGATCACCTGTGTCTGTTCCGCAAGGAGCCAACGCCTGAGTGCCACCACTGCGATGGCCAGACCTCGTGGCGGCCATCGGAGTGGGCGTTCTCTCGCTCGATAGCCTGATTGCGGCTATCGTGCGAAGCGAGAGTACGTGGAACTCTGCCGTCTCCTTCTGCGAGCAAATTATGCTCGCGAACTCTCCCGGCCTGCCAGGCCCGGGAACGGGCCAGGTACCGGTGGCGACTCAGGCGCCGGAGGTCGCAGAACGACCTCCGTCCTCCATAAGCGGAGGCCTGGGGGTGACAGGTGAGGCCATCTGTCACCCTAGCAGAAGCAGGCCGTGGTGGCGGCGAGCGCGTTGCGAAGCGCGCTCGCTTCCAGGGAGCAGAGGGAACATGGGGTTCCCACACGGGGGGGATCGTCTACTCTTCTGTAGATGGCCCGAGGTATGTCGGGGCACCAGGGACTACCTTTCTAGGGTATACCTGGTTCCCCGGTTATTAGTACCCGAGACGGCGTGCGGTTTTAGTCGGTTCGAGTCCGACATGCCACCGATAGGTGGTGGGTGGATAGGTCCGCAAGGAAAAAAAAAAGGGGAATAATATCGAAATTGACATTAACGCAAGCGAAGCCGCCGATAAAAGCAAGTACCTACATAACAAATATAAAAGTTCCGTTTAGAATGGTATCAAGATAAAAGTACCGGACAAGTGTAAGTCTGACTCACAATGATGATTACGACGCGACGTAGGTAATTCGCCCATTACGGGAATCGAATCTCAAAGATTATTGTCCTTTTTTTTTTAAATAATACTTAAAGTGGTCGTTCTTAAAATACGTTTTTTTTCCTTTACTAGTACTATGAGACTTTGCTTCTTACCAATTTATTATGGGTCTAGGTGGCGATATGTCTAGTTCTTTTAGGTTTAGACTATTATGAAATACTTGAAGAGAAATAACATTTATTTTGTATTGCGTCGCTAATGTTTATTGAACATTCAAGATATTTGGACAGGCCGCCAGGTTATCGGCTATCGTCTCTATATAAGACTGGTAGCTGAGATTTTTGTACAATCATTTATCAATTTCGTACAAATACGGTCGTCTGTGATATTTAAAATAAAATGAAGGCATTTTTGGTAAGTGGACAATTATGTTGTTCTGACTAGTATTGTTGGCACTCTTCTGTTTCAAGAAATCATAAAAAATCGTCGTTTAATATTTTTATGTTTTACTCCTACTTGAACTGTAGGTACTATTTAAAACCTGGGTGTTTTGAGGACTTACCATATCTGATAGGTTTTTGTAACGAGGATGTCTCTTGCTTGTCGGCAGTACAATAATAGTACCTTACTAACTTAGAGTTGATGCTGCCAAATTTTAGCTGCATGAATTTGCTTAATGTTGAGTGATAGATTCCTAAACAGGTGCAATGATTTTTAATCTATTTATAGACACACTATTGTTTGAAAGTTTTTGGACTCCCATGTGGTATAAGATTTATCTTTAAAAAAGTGTTCATTTGCTCGTGTATTCAACAAACTTAGTTAAATATTTACAGATATTCGTTTAGGTTATCATACCCTAGGTATTTTGTAGGTACTTTGTGACTGTAGTATATACCTAAGTTAGTAATTATATAGTGAGTAGTAAAAACAGACTAATTGTAATGTAAAGAAAATAAAAGATTTCGTTTGAAAACCTACCACCTACTAATCTGTTCACTGTGTCAGCGGTCCTAAAGCTATCAACAAAATGAAGATAAAGTACAGGATTCATTAAAAGATCGCTGCTATCTAGACCCATAAAACGACGTTTCCGTATGTAGGCAAATTCATTCTCGTTAATGAATGTTAAATATAAGCAGAAAATTCTTTATACTTATTTAATCCTGTTTGAACGTTCTTAGGTAGGTGTGCGCGTGCACATTTATTTCACAATTGTAAATATATGATCAGTTGCGTTATACAGAAATAAGAAAAATACCTATTGAATGGTTGATTATTTATTAATTAAATTGCACAGCTGTTTTATAACTGAGAGCACGTTCAGTTCAACAAAAAGAAACAACTAAAGATATTGTAGCTAATTGTGAGCAAAATTGACTCTTTTTTTTACTATTGAAATCAATTATATATAAAAAAGAAAACCGTTAGTTCGACTAGAACAACGTCTACCCAGCCCGCTAGTATTCATATCTAGCCGACTGCGCTACGGAGGGTTTTGTTTCGAGTGTATGTCTCTTTGTTTGACACGCTCTGTAGCCGGAACGGCTATATAGATTTTGGCGTTTGAGGGATCATTAGATTCGTCTTAATTGTTAGACTGACACTGGGTAGGTATATGAAAATTATAAAAAAACTAACTGGGTGACTTTTGACGCAAAATTATTTATTTAAATAAATATTTTCTTCAAAATTTTATCGACATAGAAAATCAAAATACCAAAATAAAGAGTTTTTTAAATATTTTACAAAAATATATACAAATACCTAATAAATTTAACGAGAAATGCTAAAAGATATATAATTTACAATTTAAGATTTTGTAGTTAAGTACCTATACAATTTTTACGCAAGTTTTGTTTTTTTACCAATAATTAACTTGTTTATATATTTGTACTAATTTGCGAGGTTAAAGACTTTCGTTGTAGAAACAGGATAAATATAATCCATACTTATAAATGTGAAGTAAGTTTGTTGGTTTCTTTGTTACGCTTTCACGCCTAAACCACTAAAGCGATTTTCAAAACTCTTTCACAAATGGAAAGCTACATTATCATCTTTTTGGTATACACGCGGACAACAGCTATTACCTACTTAATACAGTCGTCTTCGGTAGATAGCACGGAGTACGTTTAATTTAGGTGGATATTGCATTAATTAATAATGTTTTTTTTTTAATTTACAGTTTGTCCTGTTGGCGCTTTTCGCTATCGCATATGCTGATGACGGTAAGACTCCTAGGAGATTTACGGTGGTGGTTTCATGAATATGTTTTTTTAAATATACTTGGTCTATGGTTAAAACAGGTGTAGTTTCCTTTACCTGTTTTAACCATAGACCAAGTATATTTAAAACAGGTGTAGTTTCCTTTAGGAGGACCGGCTTCATGTGGAGTACCGACGGGCGCGGAAAACTCTGAAGCTGGCCATTAGCCGCGCCAAAGAAGAAAAAAGACAGGAGATGCTGGAGGGTCTTAATCGTGACCCCTGGGGTCGCCCTTACCGCGCGGTGCGACAAAAGCTCCGCGCGTCGGGCCCCCCCCTTACGGAGACTCTCCAGCCCAGCTTCCTGCGAGAAGTGGTTGAGGGCCTTTTCCCACAACGGGCGGAACACACTCCCCCGTCGATGGCCTCCTTGGCCGGAGACGACGGGGAGCACGGGGAGGATAATGTTCCGCCCGTCCGGGAATCGGAGGTAGGGGCGGCTGTTCTACGGATCCGTTCCAAGAACACCGCCCCTGGGCCAGACGGGGTACCGGCCCGAGTGCTGGCCCTGGCCCTCAACCACATGGCAGACCGCCTCGGGGAGGTGTTCGACGCTAGCTTGGCGTCGGGACGCTTCCCTGAGTGCTGGAAAAGCGGGAAGCTGGTCCTATTGAGGAAGCCGGGACGGCCAGCCGATTCGGTCGCGGCCTATAGGCCCATCGTGCTGCTGGACGAGGCGGGCAAATTGTTTGAGAGGGTTCTTTCTGCCCGCATCGTCCGGCACCTCTGCGAGGTGGGCCCCGATCTGTCGGACGCCCAATTTGGTTTTCGGGCGGGGCGTTCGACGGTCGACGCCGTGTTGCGCCTGAGGGCCGTGACCGAAGAGGCCGTGAGCTGTGGCGGCGTGCTGTTGGCGGTGTCATTGGACATCGCCAACGCATTCAATAGTCTGCCATTCAGCTGCATCAGGGAAGCACTCCACTATCATGGGGTGCCAAAGTACCTGAGGCGGCTGGTGGCAGACTATTTAGAGGAGCGTACCGTCGTGTACGAGGACCGAGAAGGTTATTTGAGGTGTCGGCCCATGTCGTGCGGTGTTCCACAGGGGTCTGTTCTTGGACCCCTCTTGTGGAACATAGGGTACGACTGGGCCCTTCGCGCCGATTTCCCCCCCGGGCTGGGTGTAATCTGTTACGCAGACGATACCCTCGTGACAGCCCGGGGGGCAAACTTCCAAGAGGCGGCGCGCCTGGCCACAGGGGGAGTCTCCCTGGTGGTCGGGCGCATTGAGGCGCTGGGCTTACGGGTGGCCCTAGATAAGACGGAGGCCCTGCTATTCCATGGGCCCCGTCGTGGTCCACCCCCTGGCGCCTCCATCGTGGTCAACTCGGTCCTCGTACCGGTTCGGGCCCAGATGAAATATCTGGGCCTGATCCTCGACGGGAGGTGGCTCTTCGACGAGCACTTCCGACAGCTTGCTCCAAAGCTGGTCGGCGCTGCGTCTGCCCTAGGGCGACTCTTGCCCAATATGGGTGGACCCAGCGTCGCGACAAGACGGCTGTACACGGGGGTTGTCCGGTCAATGGCACTGTACGGTGCACCGGTGTGGGCGGCGGCTCTGACCGCCCAGAATAGGGTACGCCTCTGGCGCCCTCAGAGGGTAATGGCGGTCAGAGCCATACGCGGTTACCGCACCGTTTCGACGGAGGTGGCATGCGCATTGGCCGGAACTCCCCCGTGGGATTTGGAGGCGGAAGTGCTCGCCGAAGTTTATCGGCGAGTAGCTGACTTCCGGGCGGAGAGCGGATTTCGCCCTCCGCCCGAGGATGTGCGCGAGTGGCGCGAAGCCGCTCGCCGAGCCACGATGGCTCGTTGGTCGTTCCGGCTGGAGACTCCACGCGCTGGCTTTGCCGCCGTGGAGGCTCTCCAGCCGGTCATCGCCGAGTGGGCAGGGCGGCAGCACGGGACCCTTTCCTTCCGGCTGACGCAGGTGCTTTCCGGGCATGGTTGCTTCGGAAAGTACCTGCACACGGTCGCTAGGAGGGAACTGAGTCCCGCCTGCCACCACTGCGACTGCAGTGAGGACTCGGCCCAGCACACGCTGGCGGTCTGCCCCGCATGGGCGGCGCAGCGCCGGGCCCTCACTGCAGTCATCGGAGTGGATCTCTCGCTACCGGCCGTAGTACGCTCCATGGCCGGTAGCGACAGTTGTTTTACCGCGGTCGCAACCTTCTGCGAGGTAGTAATCTCGCGGAAGGAGGCGGCGGAGAGGGCCCGGGAGGACGACCTCCACTCGGACCCGATCCGCCGCCGGCGAACCGGGCGGCGGAGGCCCGGCTATCACAGCCTCATGCCGCCCTGAGTGTGGCCGCGGGTGGACGGGGTGGGTTTCCCCTCCACCCGCATTAGTTGGCCAGCCGCGAGGGGGCGGCGTCCGCGTGTGCCGGACGTCGCCTAAAGAGAGGAACATCCACATTGAGACGGAGCCCGCACCAGGAGCGGGCTGGCGCTAGGAGGGGTCCGGATGTCTTAACAGCAGCTGTTCCCGGATCCCTCCTGTTACAGGCGCAGAGTGGCACACCGTGTGGTTTTAGTCGGTCCGAGCCCGACACACCACCCCGCCGCAAACCCCGGAGGGGTGACGGTCCGAGGGGATTTCCACACGATAAAAAAAAAAAAAGGTGTAGTTTCCTTTAGCCCTATCTGAAGACCGTCCGTCCGTTTCACATAAGCATACAAACAGAGTCATCCATCGATCAATAAAAATGGACAGTATGTTAAGCAGTTGGTATCTCAATTACTTACACACTTCACAGTTGAAGGAGTTGCATACATCATAGACAAGTTTATTTTTACAAAAAGATAATGTAAAATTTTACTTGTTTTTTCAGTACTCGTCGCAAGCAACAACGCCGGCGCTGATACAGGTGATAATACTCATTAATTTTGTTTTCTTTTTAAAATAATTTGACTTATACAATTTTTTTGATAATAACGATTTTTTTTAATTATTTAAATTACTTTTGTTATTTCAGTGCAAGTAGTGGACAACAATCCCGATCAAGGTAAGTTTATGTTTATTAATTAGTTTTACTTCGCAATTTTAATGCTAATAACTATCTGCCTATTATTTTATGAATACAAAAAAAAAATACTATTGGAGTATCTGTTTGTTAAATTATAATAATAGTTTTTTCATTTGAATATTGACACGGCACTAAGTGATACAAAACATGTCATCCCTTATATTCCGGCTCATATCCGGAACAGGTGGACGGATTTTCTCGGTATTTTGCACTGGCAGATAGCTATAGTATGCTAAAAGAGTCACTTCGGTTGAATTTATTTTGAAAAAAGAAAAATATAAATATGCATACTCTAACTCTATATTCTAAAGTACTTTACACTAATTTTCTATTTACTGTTTCAGTACAAGTTGTGGATAATAATGGTAAGTTATTTATTAATAACTGATATTTAATCGGATTATTTATTAGTATTTTCGGACCGATACGACCTTCAAACCTTTAAGAAAAGAGCGTACTCCTTCCTAAAAGGCCGGCAACGCGTTTGTGACTCCGAGTTGCATCATGGGCGGCGATGGTTACTTTCCATCAGGTGACCCGTCTGCTCGTCTGCCTCGTCTAACATAAAAAAAAATGATTCTCTTTATTAATTAGCTGAAGCATGTATTTATGTACCTTCTGCTATCATCATTTACACATCCATTTGTTATTGTTGTCTTGGGTGACGTCACATGGATTTACAATTAGACTTTTTTTCCTGTGCGGAACTCCCCTTGGATACCACTCGCCAGTGGGGTAATTGTGTCGTACTCGAACCGACTAAAAACCGCCCACCGTCTGCAAGTACTAGTAGCCGGGGAATCATGTATACCCTAGAAAGGAAAGCCCTGGTACCCTAACATACCTCTTGCCATCTACAGCTTAGAAAGAGTGCCTTTGTGGTAATCCCGATGTTCCCTTGCTGACACCCACCCCGTATACAATTAGAACTAATAGCTCTCGCAACCTAAAACCATGGGAGAGCCATGCTTCGGCTGTTATGAGCCGGCTCGACCTGAGTTATACCACGGCCCCCAGAAAACCGGTGGTTAGCAGTTCTATCGTTGCTGTTAATACTTTAGTAAGGTAGACCAAGGTTATCGGAGGACAACCCCCACTGACTTTGGGGAGACTGCTTCTTAGGGTTGCAACAAAATTGTGACTCTTGAATTACAATTATCCATGGGTGGCGGTAGTTACTTACCATCAGGTAGGTGACCGACTGCTCGTTTGCCCCATACCATAAAAAACACTTTCTTTACTAATAGGGAAGAGACTTTCCGTCAAACCGTTTGCATCAAAAACGTATGTGGTCGGATTCTTTCCCGAAGTACTGAAGTTGTTTAGAGGATAAAAGATAGAAGAAAGTAGCATGTACATTGAAAAGCTCTTATGTAACGATTTATAATAATCAATTCTGAGGAACTTCATTGTAATATTATAGTGACACATTATATATAATATGTATCTATATAACTGAAATTTTTATCATTTTTTTAGTAAAAATATCCAAAGTAACCTCACGTAATATGATGAGCGTTTGGACGTTCACTGTTGCCTACTTATTTTTATCACATGTACTTATTACATTATCTATAATTTTATTGGCTATTAGATTATTAAACACGAGCCTTTGTTAAAGAATTCCACAAATAGGATCTGTGTTAAATGCGTCCCACACGTCCTACCTTCACCGACTGTTGTCCACTGCATAATGTTTTACTATCCAGCTTTTATCGTACCTCGTAGGGAACCACCAAGCTCTTAGCTTAGTTTATTTTGCTGTATTTTTTTTTATTTTTTTTTAGGTTATCAAGTTCCCGATATTAGACCTGAATTCGTACAGCCCGATTATATCGTTCCAAGATCGTAAGTATTTCTCAGTTCTGTTCCTAAAACAAGATAATGTTCAGCTGGGCTGTTGCTGTGTGTGTTGTGGGCTGCCATCACGTTTGACCACGACACGTCATGGAGCATTGACTATGTCGAAAAATCTCAATATTGTAGATTCCTGGGTTTTAAATTAATTAATAGAGCTATCATTGAGATATATAAGTGTAACATTCCATTATTCATTAAAATACTAAGTGGAAGACAGCTGCGTATTGGACTCAAGTCCATTATTTCTACAAAATGCACGACGTCAATTTTTGGCTATTTTAATTGAAAATTTAAATTACATTAAAATACAAAGAGATTCTACATTCCCGTAATAATAAAGGCTTTAAATTTTTGCTTCCTTCTCGGAACATTATTTATATATTCGACTCTTATTTTCAGATAATCACAACAATCCACCATCTTCGCGACGGGCAAAAAAATACCTCAGCTAAATCTCATGTAAAAAAGTTTATCTGAATTAAAGTAGTTTTAAGAATAAGCTACATTTGGTTTTTATTCCCTTAAGAGTAAGTAGACGATGTGACTAATCCTGGAGCATCAGGCAGCCTGACAGCTCAAGGCTGAAGCTTTTTTCTTGACACCATGACAATTTTACAGTACCCGCCTTATCGATCTGTTATCAGGGTGGTCTACTACGTCTGGTAAAACGCGTACTTGGCGTTTCATGCTTTTATGGGCTTTTTTAGGCTTGGATTATGACTAGTACATACTTAACGGTGTTAAGAAATTATGACACTTAAGTAAAGTGTGCATTACATATAGCAGGACTTGTGATGTTGATGATTATAAATTTTTTATCTGGTGTCACCAGATCGTCAGATCAGAATTGATTATTGACGAAATGTAAGATTCTGATCTAGATAATTATGATAAATTCAAATTAAAATTATATATTTGCTATAAATGGGGTGGTACATGTTGTGGTATTAAAGGTTTAATATAATGCGAACAGGTCCATTTAGCCATGAAGATAGCATGCAAATTTAACAAAAAAAAATTAAACTTATGTATTAGATACATTATTATTATTATCATCATCATTATTCATCAGTTTTTGTGTATTGATTTTATTTCACTTTTATTAATTATACCTACTACTCTCCACCATTCAAAAAGTCTGACCGAATAAAATGTATTTGTAATTAACCAATCTTTCAGGGCTGGAATAAACTTATTTAATGGTAGTTCTTTAAATCGTTCTGGGATTTTATTGAAGATTTTAATGCACATCGCGTAACATTATTTTTTTTATTCTTTTCGACCTAGGTACCATGTTCAACACAAGTCTATTTGGATTTCTAATGTAGCTCCTTTTGGTGACATCCTTCGCTTGCTTTAATGTTTGAAGGTGCTGTCTTATGAATTTGCATACCTCGAGGATGTACAAGCACGGTAACGTGAGGATCTTTAGTTTTTTAAATTTGGCCTACAAGCGGAGCGATATCACATATGGACCTAATGCACCGTTTTTGTGCTATAAAAGCCTTATCTATATCTGTACCGTTACCCCATACCAACAACCCATACCTTAACACAGATTCGACATACGTAAGGTACGCTGTACATGCTGTTATTTACCTGTACGCTGTACATTTATCCTGTTTGCGATTTTCTCTATGTGTTCCTTCCAGTTAAGTTTATCATTGATAACTATACCAAGAAATGTCCTATTGTTAGCCATCGAGATGCTTAGTCCATTGTAATAGTCCATTGTAATTTACATGTATGTTATCGTCATTAAAATGATTAAAATTAATTATATGCGTTTTAAATAAATTAATTTGTAAATTATTATAATTCAGCCAATTTATAATTGATGTCAAGGTATTATTGATGTCATTTTCGTGTTGTGCAATTGTCAGATTTTTATTTGTAGTTACTATTATTGACACATCATCAGCAAATAGTATAGTGTTATGGTGAGTAACTTCTGGCAAGTCGTTAATGTAGACCAGGAAGAGTAACGGGCCCAACACACTGCCCTGGGGCACTCCAAATTTATTTAAATCGTAGTTGGATCTCCTTACTTCAATACAGTCTTTAGCGGTTAATTGTGTCACATCAACATATTGATATCTATCATCTAGGTATGTCTTTAGCCAATTCAAAGCAGGTCCCCTTACACCATAATGCTCAAGTTTCATCAGAAGCTGTACATGTGAAACAAAATCAAATGCCTTAGACATATCAAGAAACAACACTGTTGTGTACATGTTTTCATTGACACTCTGAAGGATGTCGTTAACCAAAGAGAAAGCTGCATCTCTGGTAGATCTTCCTCTTTGAAAACCGAATTGGTTCCGACGAACGACTAAGTAACCCACTGAAATGCACTGCGCCGCATGTACGTAATTTGCAAATATTTCCATTGCAGGTCATTTGCATTTCATAGTGTGTATTCAAAGACCTTATTTTTATAAATGTTTTAACGAAATTATTATAAATGAGTGAAATATACTCATAGCGACCGAGTTTATCACAGATTAAACGGACAAATGGACAGAGGATTGTTCGACACTCAATCTGAGTGACGAACAACCCGGCGTAGTGGTTTGTGTAACGGACTGCTATTCCAAAGGTCGCGGGTTCGATTCCCGCTCAAGTCAAACATTTGTGTGCATTCACATTTAATATTTGATTTGGTCTGGGTGTTTCTATGTATAATAAGTGTATTTACAAAAAAAAAAAAAAGTATTTATATCAGTTGTCTAGTACCCATAGTACAAGCTCTGCTTAGTTTGGGACTAGATGGCGTTGTGTGAATGTGGTACAATTTAATTATTATTATATTATTATAAATAATAATAAAAAAGTTATTATGATAGATTCGGGACGGCACAGTGTCGGTTTAATTTTAAACCATAAGGTTTGAATTAAGTTTTTAACCATTGTAGTCAATTACTTCTGTTTGAAACTGCTCCATTAATTAATTTAATTATCATTATTTATACGATAAGTCGCACGAAACATAAGAATACACCTGTGTAACCTAGACAGCAAATATAAAATTCTACGTAATATGTAAGATAAAGAATATTAATTTTAGTTTATTTTTATTACTTTTATTACAGGCAAATATATATGGTACCTATATTATGTATATAAGTGTAATAATGCAGCGTCATTTTTAACAACTTAAAGGCGTCTGGTTGGTTTTACAACTTGCACATGTGTCAAGGATCTTCATAAGCGTTCTGATCGGACTCTAATAAGTCCGATCAGAACGCTTATGAAGATGAAAAATACATGGACATTTTTATTACCTATTTTTTTTAAATTAATTTCCGTTGTAATCAACTATATGATATAGATATACCATAAGTCAGTATCGATTTCAGTCCAGATGCTATCCACGTTATAAATTTTGATTTCCAGTAAAATTTAGCATTGGCACTGCTAATAAAGGCATATGCTGTAAGTAATTCTGAATGGCATCGACCATACATAAAATACAAGACTGCACATTAGATTATGCTTTTGTTAACCAAATTTCTCGTTTATTTTGCTACAAGACAAGCTTAAGCAGCATTCTGTTGTGGACGGTCACTTATGGTGATATGTATGATTGAAGATCCAAATAGAATTACTTGTTTGCTCAAAGTTAACAGGGCGGGTTGAAGGTTTGGAGATGCATTAGATGGAACGGGAACTATAGTTAACAATTTGGACAGCAATAACAGATTTTTATACATATTTCTAGATCTTTGCAAGGCGTTTGACAGTGTCTGTATCAATTTGACTTCATAACAAGGTACATCTGGGTGTAAGGGATTTCACCCTTACTACGACGGTAGTGACTACTTCAAAAAAACAAAAGACAAAATGATGAAAATTGGTGATCAGTTGAGTTTTGTATAAAAGAATAATGGCGAATTTTTATTTAAAAAAAAAGAGCTTCTTAAAATGTCATTCCTAGGAAACTAATTCTAGTAAGTATCTACGTTTTTTAAACTATCGTGTAAGTCAGTAGAGCCCCAGGAACAGGCAGAAAAATATTATAAGCTTATTGGGTTACTTTAATATCCCTTATTAGTTTAGTGCTACCATCTTACAGCCATTCTTTCAAGTAGCGGAAAAACTGTCCAATACAGTGTGTAATCACCGTACTAAATCAATAAAGAATGTAGTGTGTGGTACATTTTTATATGCATAATTTACGTATTTGGAAATCCTGTTGTGGAATATAAGGAAGTAAAAAAAAAAGTGGCTTGTGCAAGCCAAAAAAAACCAAAGGTATTGACAATAACAACTTAAAACTCTTGAAAGACATTTGCGCTAGATTCTACATGCGCTAGAATTTGTTGATATACTTTTCACTACAAGACGCTGTAATTTGATTCTAAACAATTTTATGTATGGAGACTCGCCAGTGTACTTTGTTTTCTCACAGTGTTCTCAAAGGTTTAGGCCCAGAATACTGCCTTGTAGGCAACATTCTGGGCCTGAACCTTTTTCAGTTGTACGTGAATGACATTTGCACTATTCTTTTTCCTCATAATAACATATTTACTTATGCAGACGATACTGCAATAGTTACAGACGGTATGACCTAGATGTTAGAAAGACGGCATGCAGAATACTGCTTAAAACAAATTACAATTTAGTTTTCAAAAAAAATCCTGACAATAAATCTGGATTAAACACTTTACATACAATTTTATTTTTCCTTGTTCAATTTACCATCTAATGAGTTCACTATTTCAATTCCGTGCGGTGACAGATTAATATTACAGAATGTCACCACCCTTATTCATCCCGTGGCTGTCGTAAGAGCGGACTAAGGGAACAAACTACGCAGGATAACATCACTGCAGAGAGAAGGAAAACTTGACACAAACCCTATACCGACCCGTCTCTCCAGCGTGGTATAGCAGGCCAAAACCTCCTTTCTAAGGAGAGGCCTATGTCCAGCAGTGGACTAATAAAGGCTGTTGATGGAGTTCACCATCGGTGCTCAATCCTGCTAGGTTGATATATTAATAATTGCAATTGCCAAAAAAATATTTAAGATGTAAAATACATGTGGAATAGATTAACAGTAAGCTTGCCTGGAATTTCTTACATTAACGATTTAAAAAACAAAAATAAGCAGGCTGATATTCTCCTTCAAAAATCTGCGTGATCACTATCAACTAAACTAAGTTAAGATTAGTCCATCTTGCTCTTTGTCAGTTTAATATCCAGTGCTCTGGAGAGGTGCCGCAGTTATACTACTAATTGAATTGAAAAGGGGACAAAGGGCTATTCCCAAAGTTGTTAATCAAAAACTGAAGTTTACTACACATTTTATGCAGAAAATGCACACGTAAAACTAATACGTGTAACTTAAAAAAATGATAACAATAAATATATTTTCACATCCCTATAAAGAGTTTGTTCGGTGGCGATAAACTTCATTGGGTTCTTTTAATGGTTCAATATTCTATTACAAATACGAGTAAATATAAATGGATTAGGAGATGAATAGGGTTTGTTTAAAAGATTTTACGCAAGTGTAGTCGTGGGTATCAGTTTTATTCTTATGTAGGTATATATAATATATATTTATACCTAAGTAGAAAATATTGACGTGTAATCGCAGGTGAACCTGCAAAAAAAATTGGTTCATGTTATGATTAGCCTTGAGTAGTCACACGAGAAAACATAGCTACAAAAGTCTGTCTAGTGTAAAAAATAATAAAATTATGAAAACAATTGCAGTTGGATTCGAAGATGAAAACCATCTGTACTTATTAAATGACGTATCGAATGTATGAACAGTTAACCAAATTTGAACAAGTTCTCGCTAGCATCTCGGTGCATCTATATATAACAGGGAAACTTGAGATATTTTGGACAATCGCTACTTTGGGTTGTGGTACTACAGTCGTTCTGAACATGAAGGCCTATTTGGTAAGTGTACGAGTACATCTTTAGTGTTCTTTTATTTTTTTCTTTCGACGTTGACTGATAAGAAAATGTATTAAAAGAAAAACATATTGATGATATTACATAATGATATTTCAGAAATTAATTATTGACAACTGATAACCAAGTTAACCATGGTCACTGATTTTCTCGTCTTCATCATCATCAGCCTTTAGTAGTTCACTGCTGCACATAGGCCTCTCTTTAGAAATAAGTTTCTGGCCTACTATACCACACTGGCCACACGGACTAGTATAGGCTTTGTTTCAAGTTTCCTTCTCGTTGCAGTGTTGTTGTAATGCGTAGTTTTCTTCTTTCGTCGCCTCTTACGATACCCACGAGATGAATAGGGGTGGTGACACTCCGTTTTCTTAATCCGTCACCACACGGATAGCTAGATAGATATTTTAAAGTCTTATGAGAGACTAATTATCAGTGGTTCTAGTAGGGAGGGTAACTCCTCGCTAGGTAAGCCGCACATCTGGCAAGTGTGTGTGTGTGTGTGTCCTAACCCAAATGCCTTTGGATAGCCTGGAAACTGAATAATGAAGGAAAATTGCAATCGAGATTGATTGCTCTTTACATACGCGTAGGCGAATTCTTTATACACCTACAGGAATTTTGACTATAGTGATGTTATTATGTCAAGCCAAGTAGCTCCAGACCAATAAAGTGAAATTTTAAATCCGGTTATGCGTAAACTCTGACGTGAGCTCTACATGAGGCATCCTTAGAAAAGCTTCGGTATTAAAAGCACAATAAGGGCAAGAAACGGCAGAGATACAGGGAAAGTGAACAACTTTCACTTTTTTATTGAAAATGATGGATGGTGAAGGTTTTTAATTCAGCGCTTTGGCGTAAATGGCAAGAAACCCAACATTAAAGTAAGCAATTTATCCGAAATGTACTCAGAAGGTACTATCAAGATATTTTTTGCTAAATTGTTCTGCTCCTGAATTTTTAGTACGTACCATCACCACCATCATCTTTCGAGCCTTTTTTCGAAATTATGTTGAGGTCGGGTAGGTAGGGCTAGGTTCAATAAACTACCGAAGTTTATCGGCGAGTGGCTGACTCCCGGGCGGAGAGCGGATTTCACCCTCCGCCCGAGGATGTGCGCGAGTGGCGCGAAGCCGCTCGCCGAGCCACGATGGCTCGTTGGTCGTTCCGGCTGGAGACTCCACGCGCTGGCTTCGCCGCCGTGGAGGCTCTCCAGCCGGTCATCGCCGAATGGACAGGGCGGCAGCACGGGACCCTTACCTTCCGGCTGACGCAGGTGCTATCCGGGCACGGTTGCTTCGGAAAGTACCTGCACTCGGTCGCTAGGAGGGAACTGAGTCCCGCCTGCCACCACTGCGACTGCAGTGAGGACTCGGCCCAGCACACGCTGGCGGTCTGCCCCGCATGGGCGGCGCAGCGCCGGGCCCTCACTGCAGTCATCGGAGTGGATCTCTCGCTACCGGCCGTAGTACGCTCCATGGCCGGTAGCGATAGTTATTTTACCGCGGTCGCAACCTTCTGCGAGGAAGTAATCTCGCAGAAGGAGGCGGCGGAGAAGGCCCGGGAGGACGACCTCCACTCGGACCCGATCCGCCGCCGGTGAACCGGGCGTCGGAGGCGCGCTTATCACCGCCTCATGCCGCCCTGAGTGTGGCCGCGGGTGGACGGGGTGGGTTTCCCCTCCACCCGCATTAGTTTGGCCAGCCGCGAGGGGGCGGCGTCCGCGTGTGCCGGACGTCGCCTAAAGAGAGGAAAAATTTTGAGACGGGGCCCGCAACAGGAGCGGGCCGGTGCTAGGAGGGGTCCGGATGTCTTAATAACAGCTGTTCCCGGATCCCTCCTATTACAGGCGCAGAGTGGCACACCGTGTGGTAAACCCTGGTGGGGTGACGGTCCGAGGGGATCTCCACACGTTAAAAAAAAGGCGCCAATTACCCTTTACGATTGCTACCACTGAAGTTCGTATGGCAACCGGGACCGAAAGCTTAACGTGCTTTCCGAGGTACGGAGGTCGAGGTTAGGGTCGGTGCATCATAATTCACAACAGTGTGAGTTTTTAGTTCATTGTAAATTGACTTGCTTTATTTTTGACAACGTGAATATAATATATTTAATTTTATTTCGTATTTAATAGCAAGTTTGTCTTCGTGATCCAATTCAACATATACCAGGGTCATTTACATAGTCAAATATTTTCTCAGTTCAATCAATATAAAATATAGAGAAGTGCCATCAGTAAACAAAACTGACTCACAGAAGTCCTTGGTATAGTAATGTATTCTGCCAATGATATAAATAAATAATAATAATAATAATATACGATATAATTTTTAAATAGGTGTATTGCAATTTTATGTATATTAGCAAAATTTCGTGGTTAACACAATCAAAAGCTTTTAATAAATCATATTACATTGGTAACGGTTTTGCATTTATGTTTGATGCAACAAAACTGTTTCTCGTGTAATAATTTATAGCTGTGGGAATTTGAAATATTCTCTTAAACATACCTATATAAAGGCATTGTACTAGCTTCGTTGAAGCACATTGTGGTTGCATTGATGAAAAATGAGTAACAAAACTGACGCGAAAAATAGATAAAGTCAGTCTTCGAAGCATATATCGGTTGTATATTGTGTTAAAATTTAAGTATTTTAAGTATTAGTATTTTTATATATATACTCTATCTCTTCATTTAAGCAAGTATTACATCTTAAAATACTTCTCCGGAATTTGCAAGTCGGAAAATAACTTAGGCAGTGAGCACATGAAGATTATATTACACATTTTCTAAGATAAGCATCGTCATATTAATGCATTTTTTATTTTTAAATAAACATATACCTACCTAATTAAAGAAAACTATTATAAAAACACGACAAATTCTAACATTGTTCCGTTTTACACTTATAAGGTTTTTATTTGGTATGTACCTAGAGTTTTTTATCATTCTTTTACTAAACTGTAGAGAAGTGTAGTGTATATTTTATGATATAACATGTGTATATGTTAAGTGTGGGTGTAAATAATAAGTGAGTTTTTAGTTTAGTTAAGTAGTTTTGGGTTGTATTAGAAACTGTACCGCTGACTTAAATGAACTCATAATCTCGTCTGTTTTCATGTTACAGTTTCTGACGTTGGTGATTTTCGCCTGTGGATGGGTTAATGTTGGTAAGTTTACGTTATGTGCCGACAAAGGTCTACCTTAGCACATCACCATACCATAGTATTTGGATTTACCCGTTTTCTACCCACCATGTCCTTTAAAGTTTAACCTTTTACAAATTCCTCGACTAGGTTTGGTCAAAAAAAAAGTGTAACCCGTAGTGGGTTACCCCTTTTAAATAAAGAGACACATTAAAGTTTTATTCTCTATTCTGATAGTCACATTTCTTCACTTTTCACAAAATATTGCTTTTCCCTAAGACGTTTGTTCAGCTTCACTTTGCCATAATGCATTGTGATGAATTTAATTTTTTAGAAACTATAAAAAAATAATCGAATAATCTGTAAAATATTTAAGTATTTGTATATACGTTGAAAAGTTAGTTCCACTTTATTAAATTATAAATTCTGAGACGTGTTAGTATAAAAATTAAAAGAATCGTCTGTATATCTCCAGCATATTCTTCAGTGTCCTAATTAGATTATGAGGAATTAAAATTCAACACACATCAATAGCCTATAATAGTCCACTGCTGGACATAGGCCTCTCCTCAGAAAGGAGGTGTTGGCCTACTATACCACACTGGCCAGACAGGTTGGTATAGGGTTTGTTTCAAGTTTTCCTTCTCTTTGCAGTGCTGTTGTCTTGCGTAGTTTTCAGCCTTAGTCGACTTTTACGATACCCTCGAGATGAATAGGGGTGGTGACATTACGTATTCTTAATCCGTCATCACACGTAATTGGAATAGTCAACTCATTAGATGGTATGTTGAACAAGGAAAAATAAAATTGAATGTAAAGTGTTTTATTCAGATTGTATTTTATTGTTTCAGCACAAGGTGCAAAATTGCCGCGCTGTAAATGTAAGTCCTAACTTATAATTAAGTTTGTTGTGTTGTGGAAGTGAAGAAAGTAATGAAATTATAATTTTTCTCTTAACTCTTTCAGTATCAAAGCCAAAGCCCCCTGTCAGCGGTGAGTCTGTTTATTTGTGTTTCTATTCTACCTTATTACCATTTGCTATGCTTTGTACTGAGGATGTTATGATATTTTAATAAAATGATGAAGTGGTACAGCCTCCAAGTGTGAGGCACTATTAAACTATGTTTTTAAATATTCTTTTTTAATCGTGAGTGTGTTCTCCTCTTATTTCATTTATCTATTTAATTTTCACTATAATTCGTTATGCTTTGTACAAGGAGAGAGTGTTATTAAACAAAACTAGGCACATGCATAGTTCCCTAGTATCGTAGATAAGCCATTTAGATTATTTTTTATTTCATTATTATTCTAGAGAGTATTAAACCTCTCCCAGTCCCACTCTTATGCTTTGCGAGCATAAATTGCTTGCGAAGGAGGTGGCGGAGTTCCGCGCTCTCGATCTGTAGCATGGCCATAATCATGGTACCAAGCAAAAAAATTCCAACTCCGATGGCCGTCACGAAGTCACTCTCTCCTCCTCTACTCCACCCACGTTTTATTTCTTTTTTTCTAACTTTTGTTCGTTATGCTTTGTATGTATAAGTCAAGAGTCGAATTAATTCTTATTCCTACTATTTCAGTGGAAGAAGTACCGGCCCCGCTGCCCCCTAGTGGCGGAGGTGAGACATTTTGTTATTCAAATTTTTTTCCTTATGCTTTGTATATAACGTGTAAGTGATACCGTAGTGGTTTAAGTGGTTACTTCGCCGTTTTCTACGAGGCTAAAAATTAATAATTGCAGAATCAGAATAAGGTCTTGGTTACATTTTTTATATGATTTACATCTTATTGTCATTAGATTCTTATATAAGGTTTGTTACTAAAGCTAACATAAAACTAGTATAATGTCTATTCTAAAATATGCAAGAGTGAATATAAAAAGGTAAAATCAAAATATTACAAATTCTTTTGCAGACGGCCTGAGCTAGGTGTGAGACCTGTGTTTCATGCTGTCACTTGACTATGATGTTAGTTACAGGATGATCATCATATGTTTAAGTTCTAATAGATTAATAATGTAAATTACTTCAGACTTGTTGTATATATAGACAGATATATTACTTATCGTTTAATAATCTAATTATAGTTGCGTAAGCGTTGTTTAGGGTTTGACACATACAATGTCGTTCCTTCTCTTGTCTAAGAACGTAGAATTCTAGTCGTTCCTCTAGATTCTAGAGGAAGCGGAATAGAGGTTCTGGCTAGTGGTGTTTTTAGCGATCGCGACCGCAACCGCCGCTTCTTACTCTCTCTTGCCTTGGACAAGCGCTTCTCCTCTCTTGAAATTCGATGTCCATTGTCCATTATGCCAATTTTGTTAGTTCCGTCCGTTGTTTTATGTTGTTGGTCTATTTTATTCGTATCCATTTTTAATCCCACGAGTGCCCTTGCACCTGGATAAGCCTTTATACTGTGGGGGGCGGCCGGTATCCACAGGTTTTAACGACTTTTGCAGTCTGGTGTTATAGACTGTCCTTGTCTGTGTCCGTATCATGGGCTAGCCAATTAAAGCGGCGGCAAGAGGTTCTCAGCGTACTCTCCTGGAGCCACCAGTTGGGTCGTTGCTGAGTCTGAGTCGTGTCCCTCATCATCGGCAGCACTAGTGCTTGTCGCCCCCTGCATAAGCAGTGGGCCGATCCGTCCCTGGATTCCGTACGGCTCCCACCTCGGCCTCTGCCCACAATCCCTTCGCTCGTCCAGTCTCCTCTAATATACAGAGGAATACCGAGAGCGATTCATTCCCCCTCGCCAATACCCACCAAAGAAAAGGAGGCTATGACCGTCGCCCAGCGTGCACCGGTCCCCTGCTTCCTTTGCCCCCGGACACAGTGGTAAGGAGGGACGAGAAACATGGGAACGCATTAAAAGCATTAAAAATATCTGCACTTTACTTTGCTTTACTATACTTTGTGTCAGTCGATACTAACATATTGCATAACTCCGTGAGGTAGCGCTGCTAAGACCTCTCGATCTAATTTTAATTTTCTGTCGCACAAAACAGGTAACCCTGTAATGTTTGTTAGTTTATACATTAATATAATAACATTAAAAATACATGAAGCCTATTCAAAATGATCTCCATTGGCTTTAACAAAGTTCTTTTAACGTTAGTTATCAATTGAAAAACACAAACACGCACTCTCTGCGTGGAAAAATTCTTCACTGCCAATCTTGTCGTGCGTTGACAATTTTGCATCTGATAGGGAAACAATATTCGGTACAAGGTGCATAATTATGTTCTTGTAAATGTATGTCCCAACTTACTATTATGTTTGTTTTGTTGTGTATAAGTCAAGAAAGTAATAAAATAATAATGTTGCCCTTAACTATTTCAGGATCATCGGATGAGTCCTCAAGTGCCGAAAGTGAGAGTAGCCAGATAGTGAGAGAAGGTGAGTTAATTTCTTCACGTTTTCCATCATCCTATTCATTGTTGTGTTTTTCAAGAACCATTATTGTAATAAAAGGGATCATCTCTACATGATCGTAGTTAAAGTTTATATGTAATACGTATTTAAATATCTTCATTAATGTACTTGGATAAACATCTAGTTTAATTCACAAGAACTTGTATGTTTGATTTTACTATAAAAATTAAATTGGCTAATGTTCGCAAATTCTTTAAAAATTCTTTTATTTGTTTCAATCAAAAAAATAAATGACTCTGCTGAATTCTCATCACTGTGATCCAAGTTCGAAGTTTGTAACAATATGGAGTGTAAATTTCTTACGATAAGCTTTCTTGTTGTTTTGAAACTTTTGATTAATTAGGGAAACAATAAGGTAAAGTTGCTAAATTTTTCTAGTAAATATATTCATGCCGAAAAAATGCTTTGTTTGTAGTTAAATTTTTATATTAATAATCTATGTTGCCCTATTTTTCAGACCATTGAAAGTATCCCAAATACGAAATGATTAGTTTACGATAGTATAAATTTCTTATTTTTACTGGAAATAGAATTAGTTTTTAATGTCATTTGAAATTAATGATTCTTTTTGGCACATAATTTAGATTTATATATTCTGTAAATGTACGCGTTTGTAGCGTAAGTGTGTTAAAACAGATGTTTAAAATTGTATAATTCAAAGTATTAGTACTGTCGCTTTCAAAATAATAAGTCCACATTAGGATTTCTTAGTGATTTTTTCCATTTATGTAAATTTGTTTGGTTTTAAAAATAGTAATATTATATTTGCCTTATTAGTTTATTAGCCATTAGTCTGTAGCCAATCGAGTGTTCAATTAAGCGTAGATATTTTATTTTGTACAAAGTATTATGTAATTGTAACATTTATATATACTTAAAAAAATTAACTTATAAAATGTACTTTGCTTAACATGTTACGTTAGATTACAATAAAAACAAATTGGTTTACGGAAAATATATAAGCTTGTCCTTTTTATAATAAGCATTTGAACATTTGTTCAGTGATAAGTATTATTTTTTTGTTAATTCCAATACATTAAGTTTTAGTTGTATAACAAGAGTTAAAAGATTAATATTGTTTAACAAGTCTTAGAACTGTTATTCAATTGTGAAAAACCGCATTACGTAAATATGAATAATTCTTCATCAAATTTCATGAGTCAAAATTTTGTCTTTTAAAATTATTTAAAAGGTATTTAATGATGTATAAGTTGTTTAATAAGTTTTATTAATATATGAGTAAATTTGATTTTCAATTATTTTTTCAATTGCAAAATTTGCTTATTTGGCAAATATTAATTTTAGTTGATTCCATAAAAATATTAATGGTTTTTTAAAAGATATCAAAGTTCAGTTAAATTAGATAGTAAAATTCAATATTTATTGAAATTTTTCATACTTTTGGGAAATAATTTATTAAAGGTTAATCTTTTTCTTAAAGTTATTGTATTACTATTAAAATTGTGATTAACATAGTAATGGGAAATAAGTTGCTTAAATTTGTTTTATGAAGAGTTCTAGAATTTTTACATTGAATTTAACATGATTTGTTTCATAACTTTTGACATTGACATGTGTAAAAGTAATTAATTTTATTATTAACATTATGTTGTTTGTTTGAAAGTTAAGAGTATAATATGTAAGTTCCTTAACTTTTTCTAAAGATTCAAAATTATTATTTTACGGAAGTAGATATTTCTTTTCTATATAAATTTTATTTTTACAAAGTTCATATTCTTAATATTCTATTAATTAACTAAGTTCAATGGTGTAAAAATGTGTTGTTTACAGATTTAAAATTTTGTTTTTACAGCATATTAATTCTTATATTTATTACAACCTTACTTAAGATATAGTTTTTCCAACTTAAAAATTATATATTTAAAAATCATATATAATGTGTTTCAAATAGTAGTTAATTTCTTATTTAAACTTATGTCAAATTTGTAATTTCTTTTTAGTGAAAAGGTATATGTGTGATTATGTGATATTAATTATTTTTTATTACAGAATATACTATTATTCGTTAAATTAAATAGTTAAAAAAAATACATAAGGGCTTTCTAACTAATCATATTAAATGAAATTTATCGCGTGGAAATTGTCAAGTGCTAATATATTAAAATGGATAATTTTGTTATATTGAATTACTCAATATAATTTGTTCGTTAATTATATTAAAGTAAAAAATATTTACTTATTAATTTTATTTAGTATTAAATTTAGTTCCATATAGCTCGAAAAGATTTTTTAGTTTTCATTACATAATTGTGTTTTAAATCCATATGATAAGTATTCAATAATTTTAATTATGATGTGATAAATATTCAAATATATGCAATTGATTTTTCAAATATTGTTTTTTTTAGACTACATTATTTCTTTTTAACAAATTAATTGTTTTCCAAGTCAAAAAAATTTAAGGGTGTTCATTAGTTTTAAAGTATTTTTTTATCTATGTTTAAAATCTATTTTTTGTTTCTTCAATTAATATTTTGAAATTATGACAAGTATTTGTTTTGTATCAATATATTAATTTGTTTTTGCTTAAATTATTAGTATATTAAAGTTCCCTTAAATTTTCGTATTTAGAAGGTCACTAATTTTCCCTTTGACAAGTTAAATTTTGTTTTTCATAATACGAATTGTTGTGTTTTTCAAGAACCATTAGTAGATTTACTTATTTACCTTTACACATTACATTTAGTGTATTATTAGCAAGCTCTAGCAGTCGCGTGTACGCGAGTGTACGAGCAAGTGTGTTCATACAGGCGTTTGAAAATTTGGATTTTCAGATACAGGCGATATAGTCACGCTACTGTCCGCTTTACTAAAATATACTAAGAACACACTTATCATTTATAAATGGTTGCGTTTTGTCTCGCATCACTTGAGTTAACATTATGATCTCCAAGTAAAAAAAATAAATAATGATAATGGGTGTGTGCCATATGTGAGGTTAAAAAGCCTTAGTCTTGTTTTACTACCATATGTAAATTTCGATCTAATTTATTTTTTTTGTTGCACAAAACAGGTATTACTGTAATGTGTGTTAATTTATACATTAATATAATAGCATTAAAAACACATGAAGCTTACTCAAAATGATCTCCATTGGCTTTAACAAAGTCCTTCAAACGTTAGTTATCAATTGAAAAACACAAACACGCACTCTCTGCGTGGAAAAATTCTTCACTGCCAATCTCGTCGTGCAGGTGCAAATTTTGCATCTGCTAGGGCAACAATATTCGGTACAAGGTGCATAATTATGTTCTTGTAAATGTATGTCCCAACTTACTATTATGTTTGTTTTGTTGTGTATAAGTCAAGAAAGTAATAAAATAATAATGTTGCCCTTAACTATTTCAGGATCATCGGATGAGTCCTCAAGTGCCGAAAGTGAGAGTAGCCAGATAGTGAGAGAAGGTGAGTTAATTTCTTTACGTTTTCCATCATACTATTCATTGTTGTGTTTTTCAAGAACCATTATTGTAATAAAAGGGATCATCTCTACATGATCGTAGTTAAAGTTTATATGTAATACGTATTTAAATATCTCAATATACATGAGACTGGGAAAATTGAGATTTGTTTCAAAGTATTGATATTTTCATTTAGCAAACATTAATGCTTGCTTTTTGGCACACATCATTAGAATTTACGTATGATCTCCAAGTACAAAAAAAATTGTGAATGGGTGTGTGCCGTAAGTGAGCTTAAAAAGTCTCAGTCTTGTTTAACTATATGGTAGTAAAACAAGACTGAAGCTTTTTTTGTCTTGCTTTGACAATTTTGCATCTTTTAGGGAAACAATATTCGGTACAAGGTGCAAAATTATGTTCTTGTAAATGTATGTCCCAACTTACTATTATGTTTGTTTTGTTGTGTATAAGTCAAGAAAGTAATAATATAATAATGTTGCCCTTAACTTTTTCAGTACCATCGGAAGAGTCCCCAAATATCGAAAATGATTCCCATATTAACGAAGGTGAGCTAGTTTCTTTACGTTTTCCGTCATAATACGAATTGTTGTGTTTTTCAAGAACCATTAGTAGATTTACTTATTTACCTTTACACATTACATTTAGTGTATTATTAGCAAGCTCTAGCAGTCGCGTGTACGCGAGTGTACGAGCAAGTGTGTTCATACAGGCGTTTGAAAATTTGGATTTTCAGATACAGGCGATATAGTCACGCTACTGTCCGCTTTACTAAAATATACTAAGAACACACTTATCATTTATAAATGGTTGCGTTTTGTCTCGCATCACTTGAGTTAACATTATGATCTCCAAGTAAAAAAAATAAATAATGATAATGGGTGTGTGCCATATGTGAGGTTAAAAAGCCTTAGTCTTGTTTTACTACCATATGTAAATTTATTCGTGAATAAAATATGTTTTGTTTTTACATTAGATTGCAAAAAAATGTAGTCAATATTTCTTAGTCTTCAAATTTAGTGTTTTGAAAAAAAAATTTAGTAAAGTTTCACTTCATGTCGAGTCATATATAATAGATCAATTTGAAGGGAATTTTGTTATATAGAAGTTACTATAATGTCTCCTTGTGTTAATTATTTACTAAATAATAAGTTCATTAATTCGTAAAGTGTATCCATAGCAATAGTAGTAAAATCGATCTTGATGGATTAAAATTGCTTTTATCAAATGTTGTCTTTAAAATTATGCCTATTAGGATATATTCTAGTACAAGTAAAATTATGTTGTGTCTATTAGTGAATCCAATTTTAATATTATTTGTTTTTTTTGTTGAAATCAAGTAATAATGTTCTAAACTTATAATGTTCCATTAACATTTCAATTATCTATGATGTTTCAAGTCAAAGTGATGGGTGTTAGCCAATAGTAACTGAGATGATAATTTCTTACGTCTTGTCTAACTATATCTAACAATTGTTTGTTTTAAATTTTTACTATTACACTGATAATCTTATATTCAGTATAAAGTTATATGAATAGATTCTAATTTCAATTACGAGACTGTAAATTGAGATTGTTTCAATATTGAAATATTTATAGTTATAACATAATGCTTGTTTTAAAATTCATTAATACTTTAAAATCTCAAATTAAGTAAATATTTGTAAGAAGTGATGTAACTGAGCTAAAAGTTTCTCAAGTCTTTATTAACTATTATGCTGTTACAAACATCTATATTTTAAGTTCTTACAATTTGCATGTTTGTAGGGAAGCAAATTGTACAGGTGCAAAATATTCTTGTAAAGTATTCCCAATTGACTATTATTTTTTGTGGATATATCAAGTAATTATATTAATTATGTCCAATACTTTTGTATTATGGAAAGTCCCAAATATAAATAGTGCTTATTTTCATACTGAAGGTCTAAAATAATTTACTTATAACTAAAGTTCATTACTCATCATTACGTGTTTATTTCAAAACCTTAGAATTTTACTTTACCTTTAACAATTTATTATTATTAGCAAGCTAGATCGGGTGTAGCGATGTTCTTGAAGTTTTAATTTAATAGTTTGAAAGTATAGATTTTCATATATTGATACACTATGTCGATTTACAAATATCTAACTCATATATTTAAATGGTTAGTTACTAATACTTATGTTTGATTAAGTAAAAAATAATATGTATGTAGTGATTTGAGTAAAAATTTATTTTTTTTACTACATAGTTATTTGTTCAATTTATTATTTTGTTAAAAAATTAGCTCTTACATAAAGATTATGTTCAATTTAAAATTATTATCATTAAACTCAAAACATTCGAAAATTTTCAAAGTGATTCTCATTTTTTAACAATCTTTCAAACTATTATAGTTGTTAATTTTTTAAATTATCTCGCTGAAATTTGTTATCTGTTATCTAATTGAGAAATGAAATTTGTCTAGGCAATATCGGAAGTCAATAATATTCTGTAAAGTGCTCTGTTACATTATTATTGTTTGTTTATTTCAAAAAGATAATTAAATGTTCCTTAATTCTTAATTTACAGATCTGATTGATGCTCAATTGGAAGTGAAGATTAGCTTTTAAATTGATTCAATGCTATTAATTCTTCTTTTTAGCAATACATATAATGTTCGTTATTTATCTAGTAACATTATGATATAAAAAGTATTTTTAACGTTTAGTAAGTTAAGTCTTTCTTTTTAATCTCATATTTAAGAATAATTATTTTTTAATTTTTGTAATTTTCTTACAAATAATGTTGTTTGTTAATGATAGATTATTAATCTTAATTTTAATACATTTGAATTCATATAATTTGTCAAAAAGTATCTATATTTTTTAATATTTATTTTAATAAAAAGATAAGTTTTAAATTGATTATTTACAATTGCTTGTTTAGGAAACAAAAATTGTTAAAGTTTCAAATTTGTCTAGAAATTGGTACTGCCAATTTATAAAGTATATTTTTTGTAAATATAGTTTTTAACTTATTTGTTTATAATTTTCAGACAAAATATAATGTCTTAATATTCGTAATATTAATTAATGCCAATTAAAGTTATTTTCTTTACTTTTCGTCATAATATATTTTTTTTTCAAACATTATTAGTCATTCTATTTAACAATTTATCATTTAGTTATTATTAACAAAAATTGTTGAAAATTTAGTGTAAGTGAGAATTGTTACATAAGGCTTTTTTAAATATGGATAATTATTCTAGTATACAAAAATAGTTATGTTTTTGTTAATAAATAAATTTCTTAAATATCAATCAACAATTATAATGTTGATTTTTTGTATATTAGAAAATTTTTCATAAATTCTTCAAATTAATTTTTTAAAATATATTTAAGTTGTTAATGTGTATTTAGCCAATTTATAATTCAGTAAAAGCTTAGTCTGTTTAGTAATTAAAATATCCTTTTCATTTTTTTTTATACTTCGATGTTATTTGCATAAAATATTATTTATTATTAAATTAGATGTTAATATTGAATTAATTTTAAGTAAAGTGTCAAATTTTGCTTTATAAATTCATTGTAGTTAAATCTTTTAATGTATCAATTAATGATTACTTTTATATAGTATCTTAATGTAATAATTACAAATTTTTTGAAAATGTCAATTTTGTAAAATGCTGTCTTGTATCATATTAAATTTGATTTTTGTAAAATTGATTATTATGTTTTCAATTTCTTATATTAGTTTATAAAAGGTAGTAGTTAAAATTCTTTTAACGTAAATTTAGTTCATAAAATGATTCTTAGTCTTATTGAAATTATAAATGTATTTTATTCCTCTAGTAATTAATAAGTTTATTAAACATATTGTAATAATTAATTTTTTTTTAAATTAAGAATTAAATTATTTTCTAATTTTATTGTATGAATTAAATTTGGTGTTTGACAAAGTTGATACATTAATTTAATTAAACATCATGTTTTTTTTTAGACAATATAGTATTCGTGATTAATATTTTCTAGTCAATTTTATTAGAAAATGTTGCAATTATTTAATAAGTTTTTATTGTGTTTTAAATGTATTTAAGTAAAATATAAATGTTTCTTAATATCTATGGTTTAAATTCATTTATCAACTGTTGGAAACAAATTATTTGGTCGGTTTAACAATCTCATTTTGTAGGATATGTCTACAGTATGTCTTAGTGTATATGTCAGAATAATAAATTAATAATGTTGGCCTAAATTTCAACTCGAAGTTCCTTAGTACGAATGAGTCCCGTATTAAGCTAAGGTAGTATTTCTTTAGTTTTCAATATTATCAAATTGTTGTGTTTTTTAAGAACCATATGATTTATTTTTTACACATTACTTAGTATGTATATTATGCTGTATAATCGCGCATTGCTATCAGTGTTTTCAAATATATTGATATTTCTATTTGTACGGGAAATATATGAAACTTTCTCTTATAAGATTTTCAATTCCAATTTTTTCTAATAATAAAGTTTTATTTTCATTTATATTGCTTTTTGTAACTCACTGATTTACTTATGTTTCTCTAATATATAAAAATGATAATGTTGTGTTTAATGAGTTAAATTGAATCTTGTTTCACAATAATATTTAATGTCAACTTATAATTTTATATTTCACAAATATATATAATTTTTTATGTATCAAATTCAACATAAAAATACCAAAGTTACTTTAATGATTTCATGGTTTAAACTAAGTTCTTTCAACTTGTTATTTTGAATAAATATAGCATACTTTTGACTTGGAAAATTTTAATAACCAATCGGTGTCTTGTCAAATTTTGCATTTGTAGAAATTATTTAAGGTGCATAATTATTCTGTAAATTTTCAAAATTACTATTATGTTTTTTGTTTAGATTATATAAATAATATATAATGTTACTAATTTTAGGTCTTCGATCGTTCAAAATCTTTTTCAGATAATGAGTAGTTTATTTCTAAATCAGATAGAGTAATCGATATTTATAACGTATTATTTTAACTTTTTCATTACATATATTTATTCTAATTTTAATCAAAATTAGTTTTTTAAAAAATATTCTTTAATAAATGTTGTTTTTGACACTCATAGATTTCGTTTATGTCCTAAGTTTAATATAAATTTATTATAATTGGTTGGGCATATTGTATTGAAGTTTCAAAAAGTTACCTATTATTTCTTTTATTATTATCAATTTTTTATCATTTTTAATATATTTTAAATTTTTCCATAAAATATTCAGGTATTCAAATAATATATACTAGTTGTTACGCAATTTATGCATTTATCTTTCATTTTTCTAAAATAATTTATAGTTTTCCTTCATATTATAATAGTTTTATGATTCGACTATACAATGTTTTTTTTTTCAAATTGTAGTTCAATAATAAATAATCTCGTCTAGGAATCATTTATACGTTAAATTTGGTGTTTTAATTTTCCAGTCATATTATTTTTAATTTATTAAATATATTATTTATTAAAATATATGTAGGTATAATTATTATTTTGTCATAATATGTTAACTCACTAGTGAAATTATTCCAATTAAATTTGTTACAATTTGCCTATTTAATATTATTATTGTCACAATTTTTTTAATATCCATTTATTTTTACTTAGTAATTTAAAAAGTCATAAAAAATAATTGCTAAAAATGTCATTAAAAATTTCATTGTAATTTAAATCTATATCAATGCATTTTCCATTTTTGTGAAATTCTTTAAATTTCTTATGAATTTTAACTAGTAGGAAATAGTTCAATTTATTTGATTTTGTACAATGAGATAATATAATGTTCTTAATATAAAAATTGATTAGTATACGATTTAAGACATTGTTCTTTTCGAACTAGTTAGTAGTTTCTTTGGTTAATTCATTTGCAATTTTTCAATATTTTTAATATAATTTTCCAGGTTAATTATTGTTTTAAACTTATATTTACATATTACGTTAAAAATTTAAGGTTTGAGATTGATTAAAAAGCTAGCTTTGTCTATTGTAAATTATTTATTTATTTTAATATTATAAATTTAGTTAATTTGTACTCTATGAATGTTTATCTTTAAAATAGTTTAGCTTATAGCTATTAATTTTAATGTTATTAATAAGAGATTTCTAACACTTTAATTACGAAATTTCAATAAAATTAGTAATTTTGAAGTGATTATTTTTCATTTTTAATTGTTTATTTATTTAAGCATAATAATTATTTTAATTAAATTATTATCAACAACTATCTAATGATGTAAACAAATTAGTTCATGCAATCTTATTTTTGAATTTTTAAAATATTATAGTTTTACTTTAAATTAAGTATTTAATCAAATGACTTTTCTAATGTTAAAATTCTTATTTTTATATGCAATTGTTTTGTCAAAAACAGAATATATTTCCTTAAAATTCTATGAATCTTGTCTTGTAAGAACCCCTTTGCGATTGATATTTTTCAAGATATTAATTTTTGTTTTAGAATGTTACTTTCTTCACAATAATTATTTTATTGATTCGATATAAGTATTATGTTTTCAAAGTTATAAATTGTTTTGTAGAGAAATCTTCGTCATGAAATTTACTATATGATCATTAGGAAAATTTTAGAAAGTGTGATATAATTCTAAAGCTTTTTTTTTCTATAAATGTTAATCCAAATTTTAAATATTGATATGTGGGTTTTAAATCAAGTATATTAAATATTTTGCATTAATTTTTAAAGTCTTTTTTATACACTCATTAGCTAAAGTTTAATTTATCAAATTAACTAAAATAAATTTTTTGTAATGGTTATTTTAAATTTTAAGCAATTTATGTTACAGGGTAAATTTCATAAAATTGCAAATCTTTATGTGTTGAATTATTAAAAAATTGTTTAGATATATTTAGTAAATATCCAATTTATTTTATTTATGTTAAATCAAGTATAAATAATGATTTTAATTGTGATTCGAATATTCTTAGCTTTTTATCAATTAGGTTAGATTTACTTATTTATAATTTTCTAATATATAATTAGTAAAATATCATAATTTTAATGGTTGCTTTTGTAATTAACTTAGATTTTTATATCAATTTAATTTTTTACTTTTTTAAAACTTTTTTATATAATGTAGTTGATTTATATTATTTGTTCAAAATAATTATAAGTCATATGATAATTTACCATTGATATAATTGAAACTTAGATTTTTCAAATAATCGATTATAAATCTCAAAAATTTTAGAAGTAAATAATATAGTTCTGAAATTTAAATAATGATTTAACTTTGTTATTTTAGTGGATTTCTTGATTTTCTATTTATTAATAATTAAGAAATAGATTATCATTTTAGATTATTAATCATGGATTCCGTCTTATTTTTCTGGTAAATTAGCATTCTTATTATTTTTTAAAAGTCTATATATTAAATTTTATTTTTTGAGAATTATTTAATTTTAAATTTTATTGATTAAATGCTCTATGATAGTTCATGAAAGGTTAACTTGTTTAAAAATAATAAATATTTTCTTCAACCATAAGTACTTCAATTCCTTATATTAAGTTGTCTAATATAGTATTGGCCATTTTGTTAAGTTTACATTTTGATTCCTTTCAAATGTATTTTTTACTTTCATTAAGTAGTTTCTTTCAATTAATAATTATTAGTGAGCTATTCTTCTACATGTATAGTGTTTATAGATATTTTTTGACAGACTAAATTTATTTTCCCATAAGATTTTTATAATTGTTGTCTTGTATATAGTTTAATATTTTTTTTTAAAATGTTTTTTCAAATTAATTTATTTTCTTCTAAAAAAAAATTAAAATATTGATAATGGGTGTAGTGTATAAAATCCAAGTTTTTTTATGCTTGCTTTAATTCATTGGTTTTATTTACATTCTTAAGTCTTATTCTCAATTGGATTTAAAATTAGTGCAAAAGTTTTTTTAATTGTTTGTTATTAAAACAAATTTTTAAAAATATTGTCAATTAAAAATGATACATTCTGTAGGGAATCTTAAAGTTGTCAGTGTATTCATTTCATGTGGGAAATATATTTTAACTTGTTTTTTTCATTATGGTCGACATAGTATTGTAGTTCTTATAGTAGATATAAAATTAATTTCTTAACTATATTGGAAGGTTATTTCGTATTGAATACAATTATGATTTATTTAACGTTCATCGGTTTTAAATTTTTGGTCATTGTACAATAATAAATATTATTTTATTGTGCTGCGTTTTTTCCCATAAATTAGTTTATGTTTACAATTAAAATTTTTTTTAATTATTTCGCTTTAAAAGTTTTCAATTAGAAATTGTATGGTAATCCGATTTTTTAATTGTTAAATTTAGTTTATAATATTTTCATTTGATATTTAGCTGAGATCTTATTTAAATTTTTATTTATATGTAATTTATTTAATACACTTTATTTTAAAAAATTTTTAAATGGGATAATATGAAGACTTTGAAAGATTTGTAGAGTCCAAATTGATCATTTGATTTTGTGCAAATCAATTTTAAATATTTTTTTATTTAATTTGGACTTTGAGGCTAATATTATATTCAAATTTACATTTGAGTAAATAGGTCACATTAAATTAATTCTGTAGCAAATGTAATTCATTATTTAATTTATGTTAATATTAATTATATTATTGTTGAATTCTTATTTTAAATCTTAAATATTAATTATAATGTGTCATGAAATTATTCTAAGTGTTATTTATAATAAAAATAGTAATAAAAATAATGTTTCCTTACTCTTTCATCTGAACTCTTAATACTAGTGCCCCTATGGGTAGGAGTTAATTTTTAGTTTCACTATAAAATTTTGTTTTTTGAAGAACCATTAATAGTTTCCTTTCAATTACAATCATTACTATTTTAGTTTTAGCCTCGTATGTTATCTAAGGTTTAGCAAGTTGTTCAACAGGCGCTAATTTTTGTTTTTGGATAGGGTATATTCTTGTGTCCATAAAATATAATTATTTGGATATTTGGCTATGTCAAATAGTTTTAGTTTTTCTATATTTTGTTCTTTTTCAACTTTTTAGTTTTTCCTTAAAAAAAAATATTTTTAAAGTCATATTAGAAGTATTGATTAAAAACACAAGTTTATTTATATCTTAATTTTGCTTCCCAAACTTTTAATTTGTTTATCAATAATGATTTGTGTAAATTATTATCTTACTAAAACATATCTTAAATTATAATTTTTACAAAAATCATTTAAATAACGAATTATTACTGAAATGGGATTCTTCCATTCTTTCGGTCTTGTTTAAATTTTGACACTGAAACAATATTCTTAATTTAGTCTTGGAATTATTCCTATTAATTTTGATTTCGTAAGAAAATAATTATTATGTTTCCTTTTAATTTTTATTCAAATACTATGATATTCGCTTCCATATCAGATTGTAATCCTCAACTAGTTATTATGTTGTAAATAGTTAATTGTTGTATTCTTACTTTTAATTCTAGTTTTTGTCTTGATCAATAATAATTATTATTTCATGTTTTTTAATAATGATTGCTTATTCAACATATAATTACTTGGTTTTGCTTTGTGTTCAAAACTTTATATTTTTTGTAATTTTACAAAATTTTATGTTTAACTTATATAAACTTTTTAATAATTATTGTTATAATTTTAACCCAAATAGATTGTAATTTATAACAGTATTTATGATTTTAAATTTTATAGTTTTCAAATTGAATTTTTAATGATAGTATGACTTTGGGATAAGTATATTTAAGGTAAGTAATGGAGATTTAATTATATTTGATAACAAATTTATATTATGGTTAATATTGATTTGGAGATTTCTAATCATTTGTATCAAATAGGTTTATAGGTTTGTTCTCATTTATAAATGCTTGCTTTTTGTCACACATCACTAGAATTTACGTTATGATCTCCAAAAAAAAAAAAAATATTGATAATGGGTGTGCCGTATGTGAGGTTAAGAAGCCTCAGTCTTGTTTTACTACCATATATTATGTCAATCTCGAACTTATTTTAATTTTCTGTCCCACAAATCAGGTATTGCTGTAATGTGTGTTAGTTTATACAACAATATAATAGCATTAAAAATACACGAAGCTTATTTAAAATGATCTCCATTGGCTTTAACAAAGTTCTTTAAACGTTAGTTATCAATTGAAAAACTCAAACACGCACTCTCTGCGTGGGAAAATTCTTCACTGCCAACCTGGTCGTGCTTTGACAATTTTGCATCTGGTAGGGAAACAATATTCGGTACAAGGTGCATAATTATGTTCTTGTAAATGTATGTCCCAACTTACTATTATGTTTCTTTTGTTGTGTATAAGTCAAGAAAGTAATAAAATAATAATGTTGCCCTTAACTATTTCAGGATCATCGGATGAGTCCTCAACTACCGATAGTGGGAGTAGCCCGATAGTGAGAGAATGTGAGTCAATTTCTTAACGTTTTCATTACATACGATTTTTGGCTCAATTTGTATCAAATTAGGTTTATAGATTCTTCTCATTTATAAATGCTTGCTTTTTGTCACACATCACTAGAATTTACGTTATGATCCACAAGTAAAAAAAAAGTTGTTAATGGGTGTGTGCCGTATGTGAGATTAAAAAGCCTTAGTCTTGTTGTACTACCTTATGTCAATCTCGATTTTATTTTAATTTTCTGTTGCACAAATCAGGTATTCAAATAAAATCAGTATGAGTAATTTTAACCCAGTAGCGACTGTTCATGTTCTAAACATTTTATAGCGTTTTATGCATATTTAATCGATTTTAATGACTTACGAGACTCCACAATAGAAGAATTTCTTCAAAATGAGGATAGCGAATAAGAAGAAGTCTCAGAAACAGAACAATTATACGTAAGAGGTACAAATATGGAGTCGACTTTGTGGATGAGTTATGTGGCACTTATTCCGTATCTTACATGATTTATTTTTTATGGTATATTGACTGTGGGAGGCATAATTAATTATGTGATTGCAAAAGCTAATGCTAAACGACAAACTAGGGTCAACCCATTCCGTATTATTTCCTAGGAAGTCATATGTCAATCTCGATCTAATTTTAATTTTCTGTTGCACAAATCATTTATTTATGTACTATTTTTTTAAATTTATATTTACTTATTAAAATGGCTATAATATAATAATTGCATGCGTCAAATGTTAAACGTTAGTTATCAATAGAAAATCACACACTCTCTCCGAGGGAAAATTCTTCACTGCAAGTCGTACTTTGATATAAGTCAAGAAAGTAATAAAATAATAATGTTGCCCTTAACTCTTTCAGTACCATCGGAAGAGTCCTTAGATACCGAGAGTGCGGCCCCTATTGGCGAAGGTGAGTTAATTTCTTTAGGTTTCAATCATACTACAAATTGTTGTGTTTTTTCAAGAACCATTAATAGATTTACCTTTACACATTACATCTAGTGTATTATATGCATGCTCTAGCAGTCGCGCGTATGCGAGTGTACGAGCAAGTGTGTTCCAACAGGCGCATGAATATTATTATTTTTGGATACAGGAGATATAGTCACGTTGCTGTCCGCTCTACTAAATTATACTAATTACATACGATTTTGGGCTCATTTGTATCAAATAGGTTTATAGGTTTGTTCTCATTTATAAATGCTTGCTTTTTGTCACACATCACTAGAATTTACGTTATGATCTCCAAAAAAAAAAAAAATATTGATAATGGGTGTGCCGTATGTGAGGTTAAGAAGCCTCAGTCTTGTTTTACTACCATATATTATGTCAATCTCGAACTTATTTTAATTTTCTGTCCCACAAATCAGGTATTGCTGTAATGTGTGTTAGTTTATACAACAATATAATAGCATTAAAAATACACGAAGCTTATTTAAAATGATCTCCATTGGCTTTAACAAAGTTCTTTAAACGTTAGTTATCAATTGAAAAACTCAAACACGCACTCTCTGCGTGGGAAAATTCTTCACTGCCAATCTTGTCGTGCTTTGGCAATTTTGCATCTGGTAAGGAAACAATATTCGGTACAAATCGATTATGGGTGTGTGCCATATGTGAGATTAAAAAGCCTTAGTTTTGTTTTACTACTAAACATGACGACTACATTCGTTTATATTTGTTTCAGATATCGCCGTGAACTGTAAGTAGCTAATTATCAATTTTGACCTAATTTTATTTAACTTACCTAAGCTCTGGTATAAGTAGCGAATTAAAAACTCGTTAGAAAAATAGCAAATTATATGGCGGTTAGCCTAAAATATATTTTTCAGCGTCTGCTTACCGCTGAAAAGTATAAGTAACGGATAGCCCATGCACTCATACAGACAAATAAAAAAACCATAGTTTTCCTTCCTCACACGGTGATTATATTACAATATAAACAATTGAAAGCTTGAAATACTAATAGTTTTGTTTGACACTTTATAGCTTAAAGTAAGTAATTAATTGTGATTTCCATTGAAGAATCAACGAGAACCGTTTATATCAATTTGGAATACGGCAATATAAACATCTCACAGTGAAGGGAGATTCATGTTAACGTCTGGCCAGCGTGGTAAGACAAAACCTCCTTTCTAAGGAGAGGTCTATGTCTAGCAGGGGATCAGTTAAGGTTGTTGATGATGATGATGAATGTTTATATGGCTAAAATCATGGTTTTCGATTTTAGACGCCTAACTATTTTGAGAGATAGTTTTGTGTCAACTCATTCAGAGCGCTAAATGCGATGTAGCAGAGACCATAATTTTTTTAAATAGCTACCCTTTATTGAATCAATGTTGCTAGGGTTGCATATATCCTGCCTAGTTGTTCACAGGGATACAAGCGTAGTGATAGCGTGAGACAGCGGTCTAAACTCTGAACCAAATAACACCTAGTTTAATATATGTTTACATTACTAATAATACTTTGCTTTCCAGTTCCAGACGTCAGTTCCGTCTAACAGCAAGTAAAACTCGGTTTGATTAATGAAAATGTTATTGGAAATAAAAAAAATCAATAAGAAACGGTTTTGTTTTTTTTTATTATATACCTAATAGAAATAAGTAGACAAAATAAAAAGATAAAAATATTCTTTCTACCTCACAGAATGGAAAACAGAACTAAGCGAAACAACTGAGTCTTAGGTCTAAGTAGTCTAGTATAAGATTTAATAAGTCATTATAAAAAGAGAGACTGATCATTAATAAATATGAGGACATCTCAGTATCGTCTATGGAGTAAATCCTATAATAAACTTTGATTGAATTGAGACGAAGAAAATATTGTCAAAAATAGAACTTTTTATTTCTCATTTTTACCATCACGGAGTGTCACCACCCCTATTCATCCCGTGGGTGTCGTAAGAGCCGACTGAGATAGCAAACTGCACATGACAACAGAACTGCAAAGAGAAGGAAAACTTAAAACAAACCCTATAACAACCCGTCTGGCCAGCGTGGTATAGTCAGGACCGTCGCTAGTTGTTTGAACACCCGCGTGCGATGCCGATGAAGCCGCCCTTTTTTTCTTTCTGAGCTGAAATCGACCTTCGGGTACCCGTACCGGTGAGGTGGTTATGGACTTAATTTCTGATCAAGAACGTTTTATCCTTATTTCAAATGAGTTTAGAAATCACATTACTTGATTTCGATACGATAATACCACGGCACTTCGTGGAACGCCGCAGCATGTTGTGACATACGGTATTCTACTGATTATACCTAGGTCACATGAAACTATGACCCTTTCCCAGGGTAAAATACAGTTGTTGTTTATTTGCCCGAACTAGGTTGAACCTGTGTCTCGGGCGAAGAAGTGCTTACAAACTATTTCATCAAAACCAATCTACAAGACTACAATCAATTTAACTAGTTGCTTAACTATCACTCCAGTCGGACCGACCCATTTGTGCTAAAGAATGGCTCTCCCACAGCAGAATGTTTGTTTCCACACTCCCACGGTTTAACCCTTCCCGTCGCGTCGCCACCTGTCATTCTCAGGCCTGCGCTTGTGAAGGACGGAGATCAATTCATAGACCTCAGGTCCGTTCCCGGGCCTGGCGGGCCGGGAGAGGGTTCTAAGACACTCCCGGTCCCACTTGGCCCTCTCCTTCGCTAGCATAATTTACTCGCAGAAGGCGTTAGCGCGCTCGCTCCGTGCTGCGGCCGTAATCAGTCACGATTTTATGCCTTTCAAACCGCCCCCCCTCCCCCCCCCGGCGTTGTGCCAGCGTATGAAACTCCGTGTCTACGCTTTGGCCATCGCAGGGTGGCACCCAGACGTTGGCTCTTTGCGAATCAGATACAGGTGGTCTCCAAAGTATTCTTTGCGCCAGCCGGTATCACAGAGTCGTCTCGTTAACGGTCAATATTTGTACAGATACAACTAAGTAGTCAGAATCGTACACCAACAATTTTTATTAAATACAAACTTATGAATTTAATGATACCATACAACAAATATGTGCCCAACCCAGGTCTCGAAAAAGTCGAGTCACATTGTATTGAGATCCATCTATCATCAATTTATCACGGACTATTGTTGCTAATAGGCCTGACATTATGATAATGTCTCATGATGAGAATCTTGTGAAAGTGCAAAAACTTTTTTTTTTAAAGTTAAAATATTTAATTTTTTCTTATGAGATTTTCGTATTGTGAAATTGGGATTCATTGTTGCGATAGTAGTATCTGTTCATGATCGATAATCGCTTTGTTCAGACAAATATTTATCCTGGGTGAGAATCGAAGCCATGACCTCTGGCCTAGCAGGGTTCGATTCCCACCCAGGACAAATATTGTGTGATGAGCACGATCATTTGTTCTGTGCCTGGGTGTTATCTATCTATAATATGTATGTATTTAAAAATATATAAGTATGTTTATCAGCAGTCTTGTAGGGGTAGTTTCCCTAACATTACTGATAGATTGCTGGTTTGATAAATGAGTAGACAACTTTACCGAATGATGATTTTATTGCTACTAAATTATGTACAAAAATTATGTATGTAAAGCTCATCGCTCGCTCATTTGTATTGCACTCGTATTACATAGGCACTTAGCCTATGTAATACGAGTGCAATACAAATGAGCGAACGCAAGCTAATTTCATTAACTACTACAAATGTGCGGGTTTGCTCGTACAAGTCTGGTAACCATAGTACAGGCTCTGCCTAGTTTGGGATCAGACTGCCGTGTGTGAGATGTGTGAAGTTATTATTATTGTTATATATGTATGTAACATAATCTTCGAACGTGATTTTGACCGATGACAATACACTAATTAAATGAATTTAGCCGATTATCCTATTCAGGGTATTAAGGATTAACGGCATTTTACATACCTAGAAATACGGTAGTGTCTTTTGAAGCATATGTGACTTAGGTTCTTGTTTCTTTTTTAGTTATCATGTGAAAATAATCACCAATAATGACTAAAAAACACAAAAATAAATTATAGTTTAAAAAACTAAAAATACGCATCAGCAAAAGCTTTACCGATATCCGTAAATCAAATATATATGTAAAAACTGAGATCTAGGAGAACTTTTACGATTAAATGATCTTTATTTTTGAATTTATTGACAATTATGTTCTACTTTTTAGTATGGCTAGTTGCAAAAGCTATTTTTTACTTTTTTAAACTAAAATTAATGTATAAGTCTTTTCACTAGAGTAGCAGTTTTCTTTAATTAAATTATATAAAAAAATAAAAAGAAATAAAAAAAAATATGAAGAATATTTACTATTAAAAGAAAAACAAACGAATCATTAATTTTACAAGATATAGCTTTTGAAACAAAAATGGAGGCTTTACTGGGACCCACAAGTAGGTCACAGGGTTACTCTACTGGTTTTCTGTAGGCCGTGTTCTGTATAGACCAGGGTCGATAATTTTGAAAATGGTAAAAAGGGAAAAAAAATTATAGTAGGATGAAACCTATTAAAAAAGGACGAGAATATAACAAAACATTTTCTGAGAACATTTACCATAGTAATGTATATATTTTATACATTATCAGAAAGAAGAGATTTCAACGAACAAAACCTCCCCGACTTTTTTTAAAAAGCTGATATTTTAGACGCGAGAATTTTCTAGTGTAGAGTAGTAGTGTAGATATTAAGTCAAAATAAGGTGAAAAAATAAATATTTCAAATTAAAAAAAATTACAGTGTCCTTAGGACATAAAAAGGTAAAATTAAAAAAAATATTTTTTGCATAAGATAACAATAAAAAACCAAAAACTTGATTATTTGAATTTTTCACATAAATCATGAGGTTATGTGAAAAAAGTGTAATTACAAAAGTTGTAGGTCTCTTTATTACCTACAACTTTGTCTTTAATTTTTTCCCATAGGACTTGTAGTTTTGCCGGAAATCGAGATACACCGTTTTTTACCCTTAACAACCCCTTACTACCTACTACTACCTACCCTTCCACTTCCCGACCTCAGATGGCCCGTAAATTATTTTTCCTTTCATTTTTGTTATATTCTCGTCCTTTTTTAACGGGTTTCATCCTACTATTATTTTTTTTGGTTTCAAAAATTGCTATGTGCTATGGATTGCTGATTGACTGTGTGTAGGTACCTATTGAAGGTGGTAGGAAAGTGTCAATAGAAAAAAAACCGTTTCTGAAAACCACGTGTTCATTCGCTTGATACTACATTAGAATGATCTGCTGTACTCCGTAACCCACTAATTACCCACTCTAATAGGAGGTGATTTTTGTTTAACATTATAATAAAATTTATTATCTAAAAATAGTCTTCAGTTTAAAAAAAGGGGATAAGGTTTGCGGATTTATATCTAAGAATCTTTTTTTTTTTCATTGGGTCTTTTTATAAAAAGCACGACACGGTTTCAGGAAATGGTTGAGGATATCAAATAATACAAATATTCTATACGTGTTTGAACCATAGAGATATAACAAGAACCTAGAGAGAACAAGAGCCCTAATCTTGCAATATAGGAAACGAGAGAGATGGAAAATAGATAGTCCTCTCTATCTCTTTCTAGTAGTTTTCTTGGGAATATGAGGGATTTATAAGTGTTCAATCGTAGCTTAGCTAAACAGAGACGGAGGGAAATGTCGGGCATCCATCTCTCTCGTTGCCTGTATCGTTTCTACTTACAGGCAGTTGTACCCCGTGTTCTCCCGGAACACATCGAATATTGATGTAAATATTTTCATAGTCATCATAAAAGGACAAGGACAAAAACTTCATTTTATTGTCAATTTTCTCTCGCTAAGTGTTAAATACATACGATGTGTAAATATTATATTGTACCTATGTATACATATACCTATACTGTTTAACTTTCCAATCTGTGTATTTCCGGACCGATACAACCTTCAAACCTTCAAGAAAAGAGCGTACTCCTTCCTAAAAGGCCGGCAACGCGTTTGTGTCTCCTGTGTTGCAGACGTTCATGAACTGCGATGGTCACTTTCCATCAGGAGAACCGTCTGCTCGTCTGCCCCCTCTGACATAAAAAAAGCTGAGCTACTAATGAAAAAATCACTTGTCAAATATATGTACTTTATAAATAAATAAACTTTTATGTTACGACACTAGATTCGATATTTTCGATGTAATCATTATTTGAGCCAATAAAAAAAATTACAATATTTTTCTTTCAATGTTTATTTCTCTATCGTACTCTAACCACTTTTGGAGCTTTCTTTAAAAAAACATCCTTATGCTACTGTACCGTCCCCAATTTAACGCATTTTGATGGACACTTTTCATACACAGAGATGGTTTTCCTTGTCTCTACTAATGCCCGTTATTATAGTGTTTGTCTCAATTATTATGTTTCACAAAAAAAGATAAAGCCCTATCTGTATTCCTCGTTCGAAGAATTTAGAGAGTGCACATTCAGGTCGGCACGAGAACACCACTTATCGGGAACACCAAAAACAACTACGTCGTCGCATCGTGTTGTAAAATGATTAAAATATTTATTTCCCGCCTTTCGGTGTACCAAAGCTTTTGAACGGCATTACCAAATTTTGATTTTTTCAGAACAAACAATTATCATCACTTGTTCTAAAAAGGCATCACATCACATCAACAGCCTTTAATAGTACACTGCTGGACATAAGCCTCTCCTTAGAAGGGAGGTAAAGAAGCATAATATATATATATTTGAGATCTACCCCTATCCATTATATCTCAATTTTGGTTTTGTCAAATATTGAACACCTTGTCTTTTTGGTTCTCAAAAACAACGTAGATGTTAAAGTCATACTCCATAACAGTGAAGTTTTTTTATCGTGGGAGAGTCATGTGGCATATATGGATCAGACGAAACCGGCGGAAAGCAGTTATTTCGTTGCTCTTCGGTTTGTGATTTGTGTGACTGAAAGAGTAGGAAAGCACTTGTGATTCCTGAGTTGCAGGCGTTCATGTAGTATTCAGTAGCCACTTTCCATCAGGTACCCCGTCTGCTCGTTTGCCTCTCTACGGAGTGCAGATAATTCCAATTATTTTACTCATTTCTCCTTCCAGCTTATTAACCCATAAGTTTGTACGAGGTTTGGGTTGGTATTTGCATCTTTCGCGTGACCGTCACCGTAGACAGGAATACCAGGGTTACCGAACTTCTTATTGTCATAGGGGTTATTAAGAACAATAGCTTGGCGAGCGTTACCCCGGCAAGCGGTATTATTATTAAAATTTTGTAGGTTATTATATTTTATACGATGTGTCACGAAGTAAATATTATCTTATCTGTGCCAAGAGTGTCCGCGGTGAGATTTGATAATACACCACTACTGTTTTAGTATATCAAGATAATAAATAGGTAATAAAAAGATTCAAAGGAGTATAAACTTTAATTTATTGTGTTAAATCTCAAATCAATTGTATCATACGTTCGATTTTCATTATTCAGGCCAAAATCTTACTTCCTTCCACTACGGAGCCCTGTAAGTAGAAATCAGTTATGTGAGTATTTATTTATTTGTGCTACAATTATATTAACATGGCATATTTGCGTTAATTAAACAAAATAAAAGATCAAAATCAAAATAATTAAACAAATTGTGAATACTTTGCTTTCAACTAGAAGCAGCCAATAGAACATATGCCTCTCATCATCATCATCATGGTATCGCCACTAAGCGAATTACTGTTAAATGTTAAATGTTACCACCCCCCCCCTCCCCCGTAGTATGTATGTGGCCCCGCCCCCCTTTATTCTAGGTAGGGGTACTCAACTCCAATGAAAACAAAAATTGTTTCAATTACAAACATGCAACTGTTTTGTATATTCAGGTCGGTTACAATTTTTTCTTAATATGGTAATACAAACTAATGGTCCTCTACAATAACGTGTACACTATACATACACGCACTTTTACAGAATGCTAAAACACTTTTTCCACCAAGAAAATAATATAGCCGTAGTATCTTCCTATAGCAACCTGTATATTTACACATCCAGATATTATATCCTTTTTAGATGAGTTATACAAACACATACGTATCTGTGGTATAATATTAGGGAACCTTTTTCATAAAATATAATAGCGATTTAATACTTACATGATTGCGGAATTCCTTGGGAAGGTCTATTTGGGCCAGATCCGGGTTGATAGGCTGTAAATGATTGAAAAGTTTATGTACATACATCATGTACGTAACCAAAGAAGTATCGACAGATAGGGTTAAACACTTTACTTAAAGTGTTTAACCCTTGAAATTGACAGTAATGAACTAAAAATTGACAATTTTGGGAAAAATGATCTAAAAAGTGTGATCTCTCATTTATTGTTATTTTCTCAACTCTTCTTCAGTAAGGAAACCATAATTTTAATTATTTAAAATGATATAATTATACTTACGTGAGGGCTGTGCACCGCCGGCTGTAAAAAAAATAATCACAATAGTACCAAAATATAATATACACTATTTATGTTTCTTTCAGTAATCAGTAACGGAATAATCAGTTGTGGAACATGGTGAGGATATGACTCTCTTCGAGTAGACGTGGAGGAGAGAACTATTACAAAGTCAATGAAAGAATTATGGATTGAATACCAAGCTGCTAGCAAACCGCTTCCGATAGCAACAAGTCTAATATAAAAACTAATGAGCATGAGTTCGATATCGACATATCATTTCGACGTTTCCCTTGGTTTTTACGAAAAATACTGCAGCTCAAAAACCCTTCCCTTGCATAGGTTTTTTTTCGATAAACTGATTACACTTAATCGAAAAAAACTGACAGTATTATTTATAATACCGTCAGTTTTAACTTTACTTATTGATGAAAACATTTTAAATTTCGCTTAAGAAAACGGGATCGATTAAATTAATTAAAAGATTAAATTATGTTTTCAAGATGTGTATATAATTATATCCCTTATACATAAAGGTTAAGTATTTATTTTAGTTCCGAAATCAGACCGGCACTTAATAGGAAATTAAGCTAAACTTATTTAGAAGAAATTATACTCTTTTGTTTGGAACTTTTATATCAAATTGCAACTCTCGTGGTTACTGGTGAAGTAAGTTGAGTTCCGATTCATACTTCTAAGATAGAGTCAAGCCGAAACTATTATTTGTGGTTTAACACCCAAACAATACAATATTTATAAAGTTTTTATATAGCAAAGCGAATATAATTGCTGTTTTTATCGAATTCAAAAGATAAATTGTTAATCTCAACAAGAATTTCCTAAATACTCTACGTTATGGACAAGTACATGAAAATAATATTTTGTCCAAATAAATAAATTCCTGTCGCTTTCCTTTCGTGGAATAATTAAATAACATGTTTTCTCGTGATATGTTTTTAGCAAAAACTTCTCATTATCAAAACTGGCTACTAAAACCAAAAAGCTTTAGTCATTGCTTTTTTTCAGTGCTTAATAAAATGAATTCAAGTATTATTATTAACAAACCATAGCTTGTTAATGGTACACGGGGTAAATATTTCTGTCTCTCACATTTTGTTGTTAAAATGGAACTATTCTATGTTTCAAATTGATTTCATTGTAGTACTTACGGTAATTAGATGATGGTTGGCCCCAGAAAGAGTCCGCTAAAACAACAACATAATTTGTCAAAAAATGTTAGGTGTAACGTAGATATTAAAATTTGAAATGGCTTTATTATGACGTGAGGCACGCAAATAGTTAGTAATACAAAGGTATATAAACAAAACTTATTTTTTAAACATGTTGACAATTCGTACCGATCAACACATGACTGAGCTAAAGCTCATTTGCTTTTACTCTTTTAATTTGATATAATTAAAAGAAAGCTTTGACTCTTGGCTTCTCTTGTATAAAATTTACATTTCAATTAATTTATCTATCTATCGGAAGCACCAGTACTTTTTACTGGATGACTTAATAAACACAATTATTTAGTGTCAATCAGTTGTGCAGTTCTATTTCTGACACATGTTAATATTTTAGTGTGCAAAACATCTACACGTACATCTGAAATTATTTCTTAGAACACATTGTTTACTTCCCTGTGTATCAACGACATGTTTATTTAGAAAGACATAGATACCACAAATTAAATCATGTAAAATTTTCCTATAGCGTATATTTAAAATCTCGTAGGTCGACTAAAAACTCGCCTTAAAAACGTAATATATACGAAATAAATTAATACCACACACGTATTTCTACATTGAAAAATTATTAAACTTGAAAGAAGCTTAAGGTAATAAAAACTAAAGTAAGTAGACGGGTGTGGTCGTAGCTACTAGTCCGTCCTGCAGTGCTATTTCGACGGTGTGGCAGTGCTGTACGCAATGATCACCAAGAGGAGGCTACGTCCGCGTGTGCCGGACGTCGCCTACATAGAGAATGTACCCGAAGGTGGTGCCCGCGTTTTTGCGGGCAGGCGGTAGGAGTGGTCCGGATGTCTTAATAACAAAAGTTCCCGGATCTCTCCTATTACAAGCGCAGAGTGGCACACCGTGTGGTTTTAGTCAGACCGATTCCGACACACCACCCCGGTGGGGTGAAGGCCCGAGGATTTTTTCACACGTAAATAAAAAAAAAAGCGCTGTACGCAAGGCTAGTACTGCTGATGTTCCATCAGATACTCATGAGGTGTCATTTCCATGCAACAACCGCTACACCGCTATCACTCAAACAAGCAGATTTGACACTTACGTTGAGGCACTAAGTTCACTGAAGGTCCATTTGGGCCAGATCCCGGTTGAGAGGCTGTAAATGAATGAAAAGTTTATGTACATAAATCATATACGTAACCAAAGAAGTATCAACAGATAGGGTTAAACACTTTACTTAAAGTGTTGCATGTCGGTACTCATTAAGTACAAAATTACTTTGGTTAGGTACTGTTGCTTACGCTAAAGATATTGTCTGTAGGTTTATGATTTCATTATTATAAAGTCGAAATATAATGTATTATGCAATAGTAATGATTAACCGTGGCTTTCTGAATATGATTAAATATAAAAAACAATAATTTAATTACAATATTGAACACACAACACACTGGAAGAAGTAGGAGTTAAGGTAAGAAATTGATAGTAATGAACTAAAAATTAACAACTTTAGGAAATAATGATCTAAAAAGTGTGATCTCTCATTTATTGTTATTTTCTTAACTCTTCCTCCTTATATTATGCTCATTATCAAAAATTACTACTAAAGCCAAGAAGTGTTAGTCATTGTTGTTTTTCAGTGCTTAATAAAATGAAATCAAGTGTTAAAGGTACACGGGGCAAATATTTCTGTCTCTGTCCTTTCGGTGTTAAAATGTTATTAGTAGTATTATTAATTATTAGATTCAATATGAAAGATTCATATTGAGTTCATTGTACTTACGGTAATTATATGATGGTTGGCCCCAGAAAGAGTCCGCTATAACAAAAAAAATAATTGTCAAATAAAGGTATTACTAGTATTAAAATTTGAAATGGCTTTATTTTGACGTTGGGCACACAAGGTTTGTGTACATATGTATTTATTTATGTAAGTAACATTATAAGCTCACAGTCTCACAACCAAAACGCTTATATGCTATACTACATTGGATCAGATATACATACCACAGGCCATCATTTTACAATACAATACAACTATTACTATTATACAAAACTAATAATTAATCATTCAAACAATCACACAGAAATAGCTAGAATACTAAAGTCAATGCAATAAAATGTCATGAAATAAAGAATTAAAGCAAGAAGATGTCATAAAAATTATCAATATGTCAATAAATATTAATAGCTGTACGGGTATATTTCAGGTAACAGTTATTTATGAGTATCTGTATCTATTGTTGATTTATGAAATTATTTAACCTGTCATGAAAAATATCAAGCCTTATTTACATTCCATTGGTTTAGGAGCTCTGTCCGGTCAATGTTTCTTATACTACAATCTAAGCCCTGAAAATCTGCCCTACGAAAATTCCGTTCCATATTGAGCTTTTCCGTTTTCATTGAAGATAACGAACTACACACTGTAGTGTGTCTATCAAGGGTAATATAATTTCTAAAGAGGGGTGATAAGCATCCAACGGCACAAGGGGTTCAGTATCAGATGTAATATTAATATTTGCGGAAACAACGGATGTCAGAACCAAATCAAGGATGAAGCTATACTTATTGCTGACATCGTTACATTGTCGTAGTTTACAATAATCTAAGAATATGTCAAAATCCGTTTTAGTGGTATTAGTACAAGAATTTAAATTTAAATCTCCAGCTATGATAGATTGTTATTTGGATCAGTATTTTCTAAACAAGCTAAAACGTCTTGATATTTTTTCTCATTGTAGATGGTTGGTAAGTACCCAACAGTTACGAATAACTTTGTTTTCCAAGTTATCCTAGCGAACAACAATTCTTTGTTGTATTTGAAATTATAATATGTTATAAATACATATATCTGAAATTATTTCTTAGGACACATTGTTTCCTTTTTAGTGTATCAGTGTGATAGATACATAAAAGATAGCAACGACAGATCAAATCATTTAGAATTTTTAGATAGGGAATATTTAAATCTTGTAAAAACTCGCCTTAAAAACGTAATATATATACGCAATAAATTAATACCACACACGTATTTCTACATTGCTAAATTATTGAACTTGGAAGAAGATTGGGGTAATAAAAAATAAAGTAAGTAGACGAGTGTGGCCGGAGCTACTTGTCCGTACTGCAGTGCCATTCTCAAACAGCTTTGCGGCGGGGTAGTGTGTCGGAATCGGAGCCGACACGGCCACACCCGGTTCGAATTGGGTCCGAATTGAGATTATCTTCAGGGGCCCTCTCCGCCGCCTCTTTCTATGAGATAATGTCTTCGCAGAAAGATGCGGCCATGGAGCGTATGACGGCCGATAGTAAGAGATTTCCTCCGATGACTGCATTAAGGACCCGACGCTGCGACGCCCAAGCCTGGTACATTGCCAGCGTGTGCTGAGCCGAGTCCTCACTGCAATCGCAGTGGTGGTGGTATCGTCGGAGTGCAGATACTTCGCGGAGCAGCCGTGCCCGGAAAGAACCTGCGTCAATCGGAAGGAAAGGGTCCCGTGTTGCCGCCCTGCCCATTCGACGATGACCGGCTGGAGCGCCTCCACTACGACAAAACCAGCACGTGGAGCCCCCAGCCGGGACGACCAACGAGCCATCGTGGCTCGACGAGCCGCCTAGCGCCACTCGCGTACTTCTTCGGGTGAGGGCCGATTGCCGCTAACCGCCCGGAGCTCACTCGTCCGCCGATATAAAATCCCAAGTCCTCCAAATTCCACGGGGGAAAGTTCCGGCCAACGCACACGCAGCCACTGTCGACACGGTGTACCATCTGAGGTCTTCTTGAAACGAATCCGTAGAACAGCCGCCCCTACCTCCGAATCCCGGACAGGCGGAACATCATCCACGTTCTCTCATCACGTGTCCGGCCAAGAAGGCCATCAACGGGAGTGTATGTTCCACCACTTCCTGGAAGCTGGGCTGGAGAGTCTCCGTAAGGGGGGGCCCGCCTCGCGGAGCTTTTGTCTCACCGCGCGATAAGAGCAACCCCAGGGCTCACGATCGAGACCCTCCAGCATATCTTTTCTTTTTACTTCTTAGGCGCGGCTAATGGCCAGCTTCAGAGTTTGCCGCGACTCTCGGTACTCCTCATGAAGCCGGTCCTCCTCACCATCTTCGCGGTGATGCTGCTGACTGTGGGTGTAGGACCTCCGGGCACGAGTACAGGGCGCGCTCAGGTTCGCCAACACCTGTTCGACTGTTACAGCGCTGTAGCGTCGAATTTAAAACGTTGCTGTTGTCCCACCAGATACTCATGAGGTGTCATCTCATGCAACAATCGCCACAACGCTGTCACTCCAACAAGCAGATTTAACACTTACGTTCTTTCACCAGGTTTACTGTAACAAAAAGAAAGAGCAAATTGGAGAGGGCAAAAATTTTCCAAAAAGTAATATCACTATTATAAAGGTATTATAGCATAGTAGTAGCAAGCAACTGCATGTTATGTATACATAGTACATATTATGTAGCAAAAGCTGAATTTACAATTAATTTTTTGTCCCATGAGAAAAAATATATTAGTTATTATACTAATAGTTTGACCATAAACTTAGTAGATAAAACCAAGTATACATAATAAATACAGCTGTTTCCGGTGCTAATTACACGAAGAATACTAGTAGCGTCTTGTACATTGCTAAATCTAAAGCTATTGAGTCTAATGCCCAACAATTAATTATAAGCACTGAAAACATGTTATACTCGTAATAGCAAATGCCTTTTAAACTTATGTTATTAAATTATAATTTCATTTACTCCAAAAGAATTTCTGTTGCGAAATTGCGTGGGATATGATATTTATACAACATTATTTTTTGTAGTTTAAGAACTGAGCGCTAATTAGACAAGACTCGGCCTGCGGTTGTATAATGTGAAACCCTAGGTGAATCTTGGATAGATAGAAAAGAATTGTCATCAACTTTAGCCTTTATTTTCTTAACACTCTCCTTATATGGACCCGTCGAAAATCACGTCTAATAATTCCGTTACAAAGATAAAACTAATTTACTGCATGTAAAAAAAAAAAAAAACATTCTCAAGAAGAAAATGAAGATTGGCAAATTTTATTAATCTCAGAGAAACCCTATACAATTTTGCGCGGCCCGGGGATCGAACCCACTAAGGCAACGTACCAGCTAGTGTTAAATAAAAGGATAAAAATATTCATACTGTCAAAATATTAAATTTATAAAAAATAATGTGTAATGTATTCTATCTCATTCTCTCGCCGACTTAATCCTATACATTTATGTGTTTGTTTCTTTATCGTGACGGATTTTCGTTTCATCGAGTTCAAATCACACCGATTCTAATGCAGTTTAACTTCAAAAATTATGTGTAGAAAATTGGTTAACGACTTCACTGAATTTACTAATAACTATAGCAAATAATATTCTATTGTACATACCTCCTTGTTGGGGAGATGCCATCGCGATTGCGAGAACTGCCAAAACCAAAATCTGGAACACGAAAAACACTCACGAATTATTCATGCTTGACACCACATTAATAAGTTATCGCAGTAACGTTATTGAAGTACAGTATTAAAATATCAATGTGATTACGCAGGGCACAACGATAAGATTAGAGTTGAATCCTATTCGCTATTATTTGTGGGTTTTCGTATTCTGCGTATTTTTATTTTCGCTGTACAGTTTTTAATAACAATAATAAAATATAAACTCGGCAGAACACACAATGATATTGTTGTCTACGGGAGTGGAGCAAAAAATGATATGTTATATGTTTATGGCAACACGATATTAATCTCGTTTACATAATTATATATCATATAAAAAACGATATTTACATCTCCTCTTTAAAATTCTTAAAATTCATATATTCTTATTGATTTTTCTAAAATTGTCTACTTGTTTTATTTAGATTAATACCATACATTAATAAATAAGTTTAAATAAAAAATACTCACCAAAACACACTTCATTTTGTAAAAGATCTCTGACTATAAGTGACTGTAGACTATAATTTCCGTTGTATGATTGCCAAATACGGATGGTACGTTTCGTTATATAGCTTCACGGCTATCTTGTTCTCGACTGAGTAAATAATGTTACTACTAGCAGTATCGTCATAAAAAAATCGGTGACACATCAAAATCACAAAAAAGATTTATTTTCGCTTTATGCGTACGATGTGCGAACATGAAAAAATCATGTGCGAATATTATTTAAATACGTGCGTATTTAAATGATGAACGCACATGATTTTTTCATAATAACTTGATTATACAATTATTAGTAAACTGTCTCTAAAATCTACGCCAAACTATATATTATATGTAACTAAATAATTTATTACATACATTTAAAGTAACTAAATAATTATCTTAGAATATGTTCCAAGTGTTCCAACCAAGGTTTGTTTGTATAGTAACATTTAGTAGTTGTGTGTAAAGAAACATTATTAACTTCGAAGGCCAGACAAACCTTTTTTGTGTGTCTGAACCGAACCGACTAATACCACACGATATACCAAAATAGGAGAGATTCAGGCACAACTGTTATAAAGATCATATGATGACCGGCTGGAGCAGCTGCACGGTGGAAAACCAGCACGTGTTAAATTATGTAAGTAATTTGATATGACAAAATAAATCTCATAGAACATGTTCCTACGAAGATTAGTTTGTATAGCAACTTTTAATGTAGTACTATGTGTCTAGAAAAATATTTTGAACTTAGAAGGTTAGACAAACCATTTATTGGAACTTCACTGATGAAGTTAAAGATAAAATGCGTGATTTTGCATAGCACTCCAATGCTAATTTAAATAACGTTGAAAAAACAGACTACGAATTAAAGTAAATAGATCTCTTAGTCGTTTATGCGGAGTAAATATGAATAGGGATTCCCGCAGGCCCATAAAACTTATTTGTTGGTTGGAACTGTTTTTTTTTTGATCTTTTGTTTTATTTAAAAACAAATAAGGCGATTTAAACCATTGACTGATAAGTACTTAATCATTTTCATGTTTCATTGTTCATACAGTGTCATATTTACAATTTGGAAAATAAAAGAATTCGCATCTTTGTGATTTTAAGTTATTGATTAAATAAAGAATTAAGATGAAGATGTTGTAGGTAGGTAGCTAGATGTTATAAGCACAGTAATATGCTTCATATATCTTTCTATGTACCTATTATATCTTCTTACGACAGTCTTTTCCATAGAATTGTGTTAAATGATCAATCCATTATAATCGCTGTAACACATAAAACACGTGTCAATGATAAGTAAGCCTCATAATTGTGGTGACCTTGTGATCTTGAGACAATACAATCAATTATAATTTTTGGGAACTGGTATGACTTCTATATAATACATTCAATAGTAAACCTAAACTGGTCCGATGTAAGTCGTGTTTCGCATCTTTTGGTGTGTAATAAAATAATTGTATTTGACTAGTCAATAACAAGTTATCATTAATAATGACACATTTCCAGATAGCTTAAAGAAGTGTATTCAGCCGGTAAATGTTTAAAAAGTATTACTTACTGCTAAATGTTTGTTATATATAGCAGATAATATCAAACTATGAAACTATATACCTCCATTTTATATAAGTACCTAGCCTAAAAGTTTATTAGTAAAATAAATACCTAAGCGAGTCTGACTAATACACTGAGAGATTCATACGATCCAACCATTAAAACCTTGATACATAAATGTTATTAAGAACAAAAAATAAATCGTTAATAAGGGTAGATTGGCCACCAAATTATAAGTGAATAAACACACTTATATTACACTTACACTTATATTTAATTTTTTAAAGAGTTGGCGGTTGCATCATCTAAGCCACTAAGGTTTAAAACCCGGCGATCAACTTGCCTTGGGCTGCGTACAAAAGCTTGCGTTTGTTCTCTTCTGGTTATTGTCGTTTCCTGTTGATATTCTTAAGGTTAAGGCTAAAAATTTTGGTGTTTAATACATCTATATTTTATCTATACAAATATCAAGTTTGGTTTCAATGTAAGTCAATGAATCAGACTATTCACAGAAATAGTCTTCTTCATTGACTTGCATATGTAATGTATGTTTGTGTTATGTACTCAAGTCAGGTAATCAATATATGATCTGAACGAACTCTTTTAAGTTTTTTAGTCTTTATTAGCGGTTAGAGTTACTGTATTTGATAGAATACACCTCTTGTACACAACAACAAGGTATTTTTTCTAACAATATCAATATATTTGTTATTTTAGCAATACACGTGAGTAGTATACATCCAATTGTAAAATAAAGATATTATTTTTAGGGTTCCGTACCTCAAAAGGTAAAAAAGGAACCCTTATAAGATCACTTTCTTGTCCGTCTGTCCGTGAGTCAGCACCGATTTTCTCAGGAACGAGTAGACCTAGTAAGTTGAAATTTATACCAGATACTGAGGTCTATGGTCCCTATTAGGTGTATAAAAATCAAGGTCCTGATACGATACGATACGACACGATAAAAAGATATGGGCAAATTTCGAATTTCGCGAAAACTTGTAAGTACCAAAATTTACAACTTTTTTCTTTTTCTGAATTTTCTCTTTACTTGTGCTGCAAGACATTGCTTTCAACCAAAGTTGACAATTCTAGGTCAACCGGTAGTATCCTATAGGTTTTGGGGGGAAAACCTATATGGTAGTTCCCGTTGACCTAGAATCATGAAATTTGGCAAAAAGAAACGTCTACAGCACAAATAAAGGAATAATTTTGACTGCACGGATGGCGTAGTGGTTTAAGCGGTCGCCACGCCGCTTCCTACTGCGCCGAGTGTTGTGGGTTCAAACCCCACATGGAACGACACTTTGTGTGATCCACAAATTGTTGTTCTGAGTCTGGGTGTTCTTTGTGTCCATTTCATATATGTTTGTAAAGTCCCCCGTGACACAGGAATGTATTCCTACTGCGGGAGTTGTCTTATTAAAAAAAAAAAAAAAATCAAAAAAAAAAAGTTGAAAATTAAGATAAATTTTGGGTACTTACAAATTTTCACGAAAATTTACGTAAAAACTGGGTAGGTGCGGAACCCTCGGCGCACGAGTTCGACTCGTACCTGACCGGTTTTTATTACTTGTAAGAATCACCATAGTAAAATAGTACAATAATGGCAATTCCTTAACAAAAACCATAATTTCGTAAAACCACATCAGTCTATCGCAGTCCACTGCTTTCTTTTTTTCGATTTGTAGACTTATATTTTACCTTAATCTTTTTATGACTCTTTGATGAGATTAATGATATATCATTGCAGTGCTACATCTTGTCTCCGTCTGATAATAGGTTTTGCTTATACATATGCGAAAATATTGATTAATAATAGGTAATATTTAATACCCGATTGATCGGTAATTAGGTTGTACGAGTAGGTATATCGCACAAAAGTGAGGAGCTTATGGTGTTCTAAATGTCAGGATCTTCACTTCTGCTGCTGAACAGCATCACCTGCCGATAGCAGCTAACAATAGATTAACTCAGCTTGTTCTTGTTGAACTGACACGAACCTTCACTACTCCGTTTTACAAGTCATAGGGTGATATAGAGCTTTAAATCAACGTTTCCTATCCAATCTTAAATAGGCCTTGATAAATATTGTTATTATCTGTGTGGTGGCTCCAATTTAGTCACCTCTTTACAGAAATTAAAAGTTTAAGACTATAAATCGAGGTACAGTCTCTCTCAAGTGTACTATGTTAGTAGGTACTACACTGTGAAACGGCTGCAAATCGTGCAATGAATGCAGCGCACTAAATAAAACAATATTATGTTCATTTTATGTTAAAAAAGACCATGTAATATAAACTGTAATTTATTGTGTTAAAGTCTTCTATTAAATGTGTTCCTGTTCCATGTGTGTTCATTTGTTCCCTCGTCTACTTGCCACCACGAAGCCCTTTAAATAAAATACAAAGTGACTTAACCTTTAAAATAGCATTACTTAAATCCTTCATCATCATAATCAACAACAGCCTATAATAGGCCGCTGCTGGACATAGGCCTCTCCTTAGAAAGAAGGTTTAAATCCTTATGAAACATTATGTATTGCTTGATGCTTTGTACAAATATTTATGTTAACAAAGTAAAAGAAACGAGTAAACAAAGTAAATTAGTTTTATTTTGTTCGTAAAGGCTTTCATTTCGGGCCTGTTGGTCCTTGATTTAAGAGAAAATTGCAGTTACAATATAATGGCGTTCATTTTTGCTGTGCCATTGGACCAAGCGCGTTTCGATATTATGGTAAGTTAAATTCCGAGCACGATAATGTCACATAATTATAAAGCAATTTGTTTAATAGATAGCTTCTAAAGAATGAATTTTAATGTAATTAGCAGTATCATATACAGTACATGCATATTTCGGTTTACTTGGAATATGGACAATATACTTACATTCCTGTGGAATTGGTCTATTCGGCACTGTGAAAAAAAGAGTAATTTTGAGTAAAATTAATCGCAAAAAATTCAGAAGTAATCAGAATCATCAGACATTGTGAACTCTAGTTGTAAAATCGGTAAAAAGTAAGTGTGTTAGTAAAAACCAAAGAACTTGATTATAGCGTCAGAGAGTGGGGACCTCTGGTGGCAGATTAATTGCTGCGGTAAGGTGGTGCCAGCGCCGTTGCGGGCAGGCCCTAGGAGGGGTCCGGATGTCTTAATACAGCAGTTTTTTTTTTAAATGGGACTAATTCCGCCCACATGCCCACCACTGTAACTCCTGTACACCAGGATCCACAGCAGTGACCCACGAACACACCGAGTTATGACACTCGGGAAGTCCCAGGAAGAAATTAAACTGTCTTGGAACCCGCAACGAAATTAATCAGAAGAAAATTGGAGGAGTTGGAAATACAGTAAATCCACTTCATACAGCAGTTGCCGGATCCCTCCTATTATAGGCGCAGAGTGGCACACCGTGTGATTTTAGTCGGTCCGATTTCG